AAAACATCAAAATGCATAATAAATCAGTAAATCATCATTTACTAATTTGTTATTGATCTTAGTTTCTTAGCTTTATATAAAGTTTGGGAATAAGATGATAGTCTACAAATATGTATTAATGCTTCTTTTATCATTTTACAAAATATCATTGCATATTTCATAGTATTTCGACAATGTCTCTAATTTTTACAATATTTCCCCTCGACATTTCTGACATATGTCCTATATTTTGGTAAGCAACATTTCCATCGACATCGACATTTTAAACCTTGTATCAGGCATGCATGGAGAAATAACCAAGAAACTGGGAAGGAAATTTGAAATTGCTAACATATGATCTACATCAACATGAAGTAGATGTCAATGCATCATCAAGTGATGATGTCAAGATCGAAACATCCAAGTCCCCCGTTTTTCTAAGCAGCTTGATAAAATCCTTCAAGACAGTATTCAGTCTGCATTTTGTTGTAAACTCCTTAAGGGGTTACTGTTGTTTCTATCTCCTGTCTTTTGGTCATTCTGTTATTCCTTTTTTTTTTTGGGGGGGGGGGGGTGTACTTGGGTGCTTCATTGCAGTGATTAGCCATTGGATTTCTACATTAGAAGAGCTCAAGAGTGTGTCAACAGACTCTGACCTAAGGCAGTGGCAAGTGGTGGCTGGATTTGCACATCAAAGGAAGGCACTTTCTGTTGATTGGATTGCTCCAGACAGTGAAGTGATAAAAATTCAGTTTTGATGGGTGCTTTCTAGGTAATCCATGACCTCAATGGTGGACAGGGTTTTTAGACATCATGAAAAATAGAATCTATGTTTTTTTTGGGTCCAGTATGAGAGAACTCACTTAGAGCTAGAGGTGTCAATTGGACTGGATTTGGTCCAACCCGATCCAGTCCATGATCCAGTCCAATGTGAGTCCACTTACAAATGGATTGGACCCAATCCAGTCCAAATCTAAAACAAACCAAATCCAATCCAATCCATTAAAATGTAAATGGACTGGATTGGATCCAATCAAAACCAAATGAAATATCAAAAATTATATATACAAAAACAGAACATATAAAAATTACAAAAATATATTAAAATGAAGGAATCTGAAAATTACAAAAATATACCCTTTTGACATTAAAAAACACTTTTGTATAAGTGCTTTCATAAAAGTACTTTGATAAAAGTGCTTTTGTAAAAGTACTTTAATGAAAGTACTTTCGTAAAAGTGCTTTCATAAAAGTACTTTTGTACAAGTGCTTTTGTAAAAGCACTTTCTTATAAATGCTTTTATAAAAGTACTTAAGTACTTTTGTAGAAGTGCTTTTGTAAAAATGCTTTCGTAAAAGTACTTTTATAAAAGTACATGCTTACATAAAAGTGCTTTTGTAAAAGTACTTTCATAAAAGTGCTTTTGTAGAAGTGCTTTTATAAAAGTGCTTTCGTAAAAATGCTTTTATAAAAGTACTACCACAAAAGTGCTTTTGTAAAAGTACTTTTATGATAATACCTCCATAAAAGTGCTTTTATAAAAGTACTTCCGTAAAAGTTCTTTTGTAAAAGTGTTTTTGCGTAAAAGTACTTTTTTAAAAGTGCTTAAAGTGGTTTTGTAGAAGTGCTTCTATAAAAGTGCTTTCATAAAAGCACTTTTATGAAAGTAAAAGTGATTTTATGCCAGCTTCAGTTTTGATCGGTTTCAAATTGGACAAGGGTTTGGCCTCATGATCGGATTATTTGGAAATTTGGTTTAGGTCCAATTCAGACCAATAAGAATATGGACCAATTTATTTTGGATTGGCCCAATCCAATAATTATATGGACCGTCCAAATCCGATTTGATAAGGTTTGGATCGGATTGGATCCAACTCAAAACCAGCCGATTGACACCCCTACTTAGAGCAGAGATGCTTGCTCTTCATGATGACCTAAACCTGGTGTGTTACTCAGGTTGAAGTGGTTAGTAGATGACTGTCAATTATAAATCAGACCTTTGAGGGGATTAAATATTGCAAATCAAAGATAAGAGCATATTAAACAGTCCATGTCATGTTTTGCCATTTCAGTGCAAGAGTAAGAACATGGTTCAGTGTATCTATATTCTTAATAAGCAAATTTTGTGTATCAAGAGTTTGAAATTTTCAAAACTTATATTCTGTTTACTATTTTGTCAGACATAAGCTTAAAAACCATAAGCATTTAGCATTTCAGAGACCCAAAGATATGGTATGATATGCCCAATATGGAGCATATCATATCAATGCTTTGAACCAAGGTTTTCAAACCGTCGTTGACCCGGACGGTTGGACCGTTCGGCCCGGGAACTGTCCAGGCAACCGGTTCCGTTTAACCTAAAACCCGGTTTCTGGTCAAAAACCGTTGAAAAAGTCAACAACCTGTTGACTCGGGCGGTCGAACCATCGACCCATTGACCCATTCAACGGTTTTGATTGTTTTTTGTTATCTTTTGTTATTTTGTTATTTTTTAATTTGTTTGTCAGAACGGGCCGTTTGTTCGAACCGGACGGTTGGACCATCGACCCGGAAACCGGTGGCCAGAACGGTTCCATTTCCGGGTCGTTTTTTAAAAAGTTGTTTTGAACCTTGAGTAAGCAAGTCATGGATGTTGAAGTCCTGCACATATAAAAAAATGTCATATCATGATATCAATAATAAATGCCATCGCTTACCAGAATTTCAACAATGACATTCATGCCAACTTTTATGTGATGACGGATCCAATACCAATCATTGCCTTTTATTGGTACCCACCTGAAAAGCATCAATAGCTGCATATGAAATAGGAGTAAAGTTTTGTGATAATGGTGCACTTAGATCAAATTTAAAATACATTAGCATGCCATGCATTGTCAACATTTAAGTCAGAATCAGATCTCAGGGAAAAAAATAACACCAAGGGAAGAAAGGGGGAAGCAAGGAAGAAAAGGGTCCACCAAAAAGATTTTTTACTCTCTAATGGATCTTAGAACAGAATTTTTTTTCCTCCATTGGTCTAAACGGTCTAAAATCCTTTGAGCCTCGCCTTCTACTGATCAAACAAAAATAAATCTCATACTAAGTAAACATCTATACTCTTACCATAAAAAAATTACAATTCCTATCTAGAAGGAATACTGGACTATTTGGGAGGAACAAAACACACGAAATTTCAAAGACACCAATCCAAATAAGCAATAACAAATCTGATCAAAATTAGAGTTGCCATCCTTGGAAATGCTTGGCATCTTTGTAAATATTTCTCATTTGTTTCTATAATCAATAAAGTTGTGTTACCAATTGAAAAAAAATAAAGGAAAACAATTCGAGTTATTCGTTGAGTGGAGACAAGATAAGAGTAATCCTTCTTTTGAACAGATTGATATCCTTAGAAGCTAATCTACAGTGGCTACTCCATCCTCCATAAATAATAGATCTATAATGATATGGACTCCCCTCCATTGGGTAGAATTAAAATGAACTTGGTTGCAGTATTGGAAACCTGAGGGAATCAGGTACTGGAGGTACTTTCAGGACCCATATAATTATAGGGGATGCTATTTTAACATTCTCTGGGCTAATTGGAGTTGACAACTATATAAAATCTGAGTTACATGATGATGTACTTCAATGACTGAGATTGGCCAACACATTTGGTCTCTCAGCATTGCTCGGAGGGGGGGGGNGGGGGGGGGCGCTCTATGGAGCAATTGGTGGCACTCATTCACTCTTACATGCCATACTTCAACTACTGAGATTGACCAATGCATTTGACCTCTCGGGATTGCTTGTAGGAGGATAATCAAAATCAATTAGGGGAGCTCTCTAAGGAGCAACAGATGGCACCATGTTAGATCTCTCTCTCTCTCTCTCTCCAAATGATTCTAGCAGGATCAACCTGGTAATGGCCTTTTAGCTTGAAGGTTGATCCCTAACTCAAGAAATATCTTCTAGATTTCTTTAGGCAAACATTTCTAGGGTAGGTCCCAACCCCATTAAGAAATTTCCACTTATCTAATTACCTTATATAGCACCCCATGTAGTTGGGATAAGGCATGGATGATGATGATGATCTAATTACCTTATATATGAAACAAAGACAGCATTAGGGCTTATAAAAATAAAAAAGGCAGCATTAGGGAATTAGTTGCATCCTAATTTATCAAGGACAATTTTAGCCATCCAATTCGTTAATATCAATCTTGAATTTTTTACCAAACATTAGGAGGTGGAAGAGTATGCGGTGTTGTTGGGGCTGCTTCAAAATTAGAGGATTGATTTGAGTTTAGAGGATGAATGGGTTTGGAAGTGGAATGCAGATGGTAGTTTCTCAGTTAAATCCCTGTTTCTTAAGCTGCGCAGATCAGGTCAGGAGAACTTCCCTGCCAGGCAGATTTGGAATCCAACTAGTCCCTCCAAGATCAATTTCCTGGTCTGGAGAACGGCTCTTGATAAATGTCTGACCAAGACTAACCTGGAGAGACGTGATATTCAGATTCTGGATCTCTCTTGTAGTTTGTGTGGAAATCTTGCAGAAACTACAGAGCACTTGTGTATCCATTGTCCAGTTTCTTCTTTGGTCTGGGGGCATTTTCTTAAGGTTTTGGAGATTAGCTGGACTAGGCCAAAATCTGTGAAGGAGCTGCTGATGTGTTGGAGAATTGAGGGTCTCAGCAAGAAAGGAAAGCTTGTTTGGAGTACCATTCCGGCAGTTGTGCTTTGGTCCATTTGGACTGAAAGAAATAACAGAACCTTCTGTGGCCAATTTAAAAGCCCAGATGAAGTAGTGCAAAGAGCCGTGGGCAAGCTATGTTCCTGGGTGTTAGTGAATGAGGAATTTAAAAACCAGAATGTATCTCATTTGTTTTGTTCTAAATCATGGATGAGCTTGTAATTAATCTTGTGCCTAGGCAGTTTTAGTGGTCTGGGTCTTGTTGTAACGCTCTTTTATGTGCTGAATAAATTCCATTACCTTTCTCCAAAAAAATAAAATTACCAAACATTAAATAATTGGTTCCCCTCAATATTTTTCCCTTCAAGTAAACAATACATTAAATATTAAATACCATATTATTTATTAGTATAATAATTGACTCCCCTCATAAATTTGTCTTTAACTTCACCCCTCGAGTTAATAGCAAATTAAATGCTACTGCTTATAATATTTTCCCATCTCTTGAGTCATGTCTCTTTGGATTCTGATACTCCACCATTTGTTCTGCCTTCTATAATGCATAATATGATTTAGTCTATAAATTTTCAAAATACAAAAAATGTTTACGAGAGACATGGAAGGATTAGTTAATGATGTAGATAGATTCTACTATTTAATTAATAAACTGTAAGTAAATCTACATGAACTTCACAAATAAGGTTACCCATCATATACTCCCCCAATATCAACAAATGCTCCTTGGTAAAGGTGGAGGGTGGTCACTTTTCCTGCACAAATCTGCACAGCCACAGAGATTTCTCCCACAATTAGTTACACTTGGTAAATATTAAGATCAAACAGCTGAATATGATTATGTAGCAGATACAGATTCAGGAGCTAAAATGTTTATAGTAGATAATGCAAATATTAGTAGGTCAGGAATAATGACCAGCCTTCAACAGTTTATGCATGATCTAGCTTTGCTAAGAAGCTTCAATATGGATCTAAAAAAAATAAGAGGCTTGTTTCAATGGCAGACAAAAAGAATCTCATTTCATGCTATTATTACACCATAACATATCCTGGTCACTTCTTCAACAAGATATATACCGAAAAAGATATTAAATTACATCCAATCCTGTGTCTGATTGAGTTCTAGAAGAAATGGTCTGATATACCAGAAGCCAAATTAAAAAAAAAAAAAAAACTTAAATATTGGAAAAATAAATACTAGGTTGGGCAGCTACAATTGTTCAAACAAAATGCAGATGAACTATCTGTAAATGGTAATAACATAAGTATGTATTTTTTGCAGACGCATAACAATTTCCTGCAGGTCCAGCTGAATGTTCCCGCACAATATTAAACATGCAATGGTGTTTGGAATACAGGGAATGGCCTCAATAAAACTGATAAACATTCACGCATAATCAGTATCAAATCATGTTGTAGGAATGAAAACCCGCAAGGCTTACCTGCCCTGGATAAAAAAACGGAAGTTCGAGCTGCAAAGAAAATCAAATTTGTTAAAAAAACAGCACCACGTGAGAAATTGATCAAGGTTTTGAGGATTCAAGCGACAATAAAATAAACGTACTCATCATACCATATCTTCTTTGTAATCCTTGCCTCGCTTCCTCCTACCAGGATGATAATCTTGGTCATGCTGTTGGTACATGAGGCAATCCAAATTTGAATATTGATTGAACGCAGTGGGAACTAGGGAAAGTTGAAGTAAATAGTTGCAACAAAACAAAGAGAATAGATCCTCGAGTCCAAACCTTATAAGACTCCTCCTCCAAAGCATCTTTGTTTGCCGCAACCCACTCCTTATACTGCTTAAGAAACACCTTATACCTTTCCAAGCACATGTTATCAACATCCCTCCTCGGCGATTCCAATTCATCCAAGTGAATTCTCACTGCCTGCAACTTATGCGCTTCTCGTATAAACTGGAGCTCCTTCTCATCAACTTTCCAGCCTCTCGGCGGCCAATCCCGCGGTGGAATCTGGCGAAGGACTAAGGGTCCATCCCAAGTTGTCTGCAAGGGCTCAGGAATCTCTCCTTTTATCTCGAATTGTTTTGCGAGGTACTCATCTTCCGTCAATCCACTCTCCTCCATTTTCTTCTTCCTGTATTTAGGGTTCAACATTTTGAAAGCTTCAATTGCTTCAGGCGACTGAAGCGGAACCTCTTCCCCTTCGTTCAAGCTCTTGCGTGCGAAATCGGCTTCTGGTGAAAGGATTTCTTCCCATGGAGCCCAACCTCGTTCAATCCAATTACGTCGACGAGCTTCCTCTTCCGTTTCTTTCTCCTTTGGGCGGTAGTTCTCTAAGAACGTGTCGTCGACAGGGAATTCGTCGGAACTGAAGGACTTGGCGCTGAAGTTGCGCGAAAACGGTCGAGTTCCTATGAGAAATCGAATGCGCCATGAGAGATGCGGTCTGCAGATAGGGTACTCAAGCTTGGAGGGTTTAACTAGGGTTTTAGTTGGTTTAAAAGAAGGGAAGAGGAAAGTATGAGTTGTTGGGATGGATTGCATCGTCTTCTCCTCAGTGACTCCCAATGGTGACTGCGTGTGAAGATGGAGGGAAATATTTCCTCGAAACGGATAGAATTCGTTTGGGTGATTGTATGATACGCTCAACTACCAAACTAAGATATACTAATGTCTCTAAACCGTACATTTTCAGTAAAACTCGGGTCGAGATGGTTTGATTGGGTCAGGAACTCGGGTTGCAATCATGGCCTAATCCAATGTGTAAAACTCGGGTCGACACACAAAACCTACAGTTACGAGGTTTGATCCCGCGTCTACTGTGACCATAGGGTCATTGACTAGTTCTATCCCTCTCATTAGCATATGTTAATGTTCTATCAAAATCCGTATACACATGTCACTATGTGATGTATAATTTTTTTTTTTTTAACCCAATATTATCATTTGTCCCTCTCCCTTTACCCTCTTCTCCTCCTCCTCCATCTCTTCTTCCTTTTAGCAGTGGCAAGTCGAGCTCTTCATAGTGGTAAATCGGAAACGACAACGATATTAAGCCTTCGGGAAGGAAGACGATTGGAAAAGGGTAAAATACAATTAAGAGCCAGCCTCTTGCCACCACACTCACTCTACACCCTCTGGACATCTACCACAAGATCATATCGTAGTTGGTGGCAATGAGATTCCAACAGCATGCGATCGTCTTTGAAGCAAATGCAGTTCAAGCAACTCAATAAGGAAAAGACTACGATATCGGAGAAGAACCGTTGGGGTCGGAAGGTAACCAAGTTGACCAAAGAGTTGATCCTCGTCGTCTTCTACGACCTGGATCTTGTATGAAGATCACAGTAGATGCAGCAACGGCGACGATAAAGGGTTTATGGCAAGATGGATTGCTGATCCTCGTTGTCTTCTGCGACTTGGATCTTGTATGAAGATCATAGTAGACACGACATCGACAGCGGTAAAAGGGCTTATGGCAGGCCAAGCAACGGCGACGAACGCCTACAAGACGTAGAGAGCGAACAAGATTAGACGTTGAGAACAAGAAGAAAAAAAGGGGAGTTCTTGGGGCAGAAGGAAGTTCTTCAGCTTGACCGGAATGAAAGACAGGGAGTGGAACAGTTGCATCACCGGTTACCGCCGAGGAGTGCTTCACTGCAGATGCCGCCGACTACGTTCATCGAGCAAAGAACTGTTGCACCGGTTGCATTGTCCCCTATTCCACCGTCCCACATAATCTCGTTGCCTCTGCCCTCCCCTATTCCACCGTCCTACTACTAATAGTAAAGCATAACGTAGTCCTCCTCCTCACTGTCTTCAGTGCGCAATCTAGCACGTCGGAGCAATGCGACACCGCCCCTGCCTCCGCCTTCATGCTCGTCATAGATCACTCTCGTCTTGATCACATCCACTAGGTTCGACGCCACTACGACCACGAACCCCGCTGCAAAACTCTCTGTCACATGGGTCCCAAGCCCATCCCTCATCATACCGTGTCATAGGATCGACTCCTTGATATGACTGTATGATGCCAGCTGCGATGCAATCACGATCATTGTGTGGTTCACTGTGAGAGACACGCATGGTGTAGTATATTGTTTGCCACTGGACAGTAGCCGAAACGCTAGAGAAGAGGGCAACGACGCCTTATGTTTGAACAATCCGAATTTTGATGGAGATAGGACCGTGTGAACAGACCATTCAAGGATGGCAATATTGACGACATGATTTCTAATTTGAAGAGACGGCGGTGATGACTCAACGCGCACCGCCGATTGGATGTTGTAGTGGTTGCCGTTGTAGGCGACGATGCTCTTCTCTACTGGAGAACATCTTTATGCCTGTCGTGTTAAATATAGGGTTAAAATAGTAATTTACTATCTGACTTAAGAGTATAGTTATTCAATTTCCTAAATTTTAGGGGGTAGTTTGTCATTTTGTTAACTATACATTAAATACTATTTATTTATTTATTAATATTAATTTAAGTAATTATTACACAAAATATTTTATTTATTAACAATAAATCAAGTAATCATTTTTTTAAATAATTAACAAAATTACTATTTGTTTTTCTAACTTACTGTTAATTTATTTTATTTACTGTTAATTTAATGTTTACCAATGGAAACAAAGCATAATTTGTAACTGACAAAATTAAGTAAAAAAGTAATTATTGTTGACATAATTTGTAATTATTTGTCATATTTAATTATCAAAAAAATATAATCAATGTTATCTATGATTGTGGTTGTTTATAATAAACAAAATTTATAATTATTTTACCAATAAGTACTGATATTTACAACTAACAAATTTAAATGCATAAATAATTATGGTTATTTCACAAATTATGTAATTAATTAAAAAATGCTATAGCATAAAATATGAATAAAAAATTAACAGAACCTATATCCTTTTAATTTAATTAAGCGATAATTAATTTTCTATTCTTATTATTGGCTCACATTAATTTATGATTTTATCTATTACTAATTTATGGTTTTATCTATTATTTATTTTGTCTCCGGGAGAATGATATAATCATTTATTTTTTTGAGAAATAATGATATAATGATTTCATTTCTTTGAATCCATCAATTATTATAATCATAAATAAATATCGGATTTTCCGTATCGCACGGGTCCCACTAGGCACTAGTATTCACATATAAAAAATTGAACGACACGTATAGAAGAAAGAGAGGGGAAAATAGATAGATTAATTTTGATGTGGTGGTCTGGACGTGAAGCAGACGCAATTATCGTCGCTACAAGTAGTAAAGAATATAGATATTCGTATATTCTCCTGACCTTCGGCTCTCCGAAGTGGGATCAAAATATCAATATATCATCATCGTTGGGGCTACGACACGAAACTGTTTTCTTTGCTTTACGCTCTAATACTCTCTATATATTAGCTTTCGCCCGTCACTCTCTCTTTAAGTTTTCTTTTTATTTCCAGGCACAAGGGTTTCGAAGTTCTCAACATCAAATCTCTAGAGCTACGAATTCGTCCCTGAAATGTGCTGAAATTTGCAGTGTCATCTGTAAATACATTGCTTTCGCGAATCCTGTCGCTTTTTCTCTAGAGCGCTAGAAGGCCAAGGCCTCTGTTTTCTTTCGCAGGTACAATTCTGCAACTCCTCTTCGCTTACTTTCTATCAGGGAAAAACCCTAACCCTAGTTCTTTAGCATTAGTGTCTTTGCGTTCTGATGTAATGTGTGCCACCGCGATGAGAAAACGGGGAAATCGTATGTTATCGACTTCTACAGAGGATCGACAGTTCCGAGCTTTAGAATTGTTCAAGGTTCAGATTTTTTAATTGGTATTACAGAATCTTGTGATTATTTATTTTGAAAACATTGCCGTCCTCGTGTTTGTTTAGTTGGTCTCAATGGAAACCCTAACTCCTATCCCGATCCTCCCTATGTTCTTTTCAATGTTTCTCTCGATCTATCTCGTCGCCTACTATATCGTTTTCCGTAACTGGAGCCCAAAACACCGCACTGAAGCCTCCAGCTGCCTCATCTCTCTGGCTCATGGCACTCCTGCTGTTGTCTTGGCCACTTATGCTATAGCAACACAATCTCCTCGTGGCTTTGCTTCTCCAAACACCAGTTTCCAGAATTTGGTACTTGATTTCAGCATTGCTTATTTCTCGATGGATCTCGTTCATTATCTCATTTTCTTCCCAAACGACATCCTCTTCATGGCTCATCATTTGGCAACTCTCTTCGTATTTTTGACATGCCGATACATGGTTTTCCATGGGGCATTCGCCATTCTCGTTCTTCTCGTCCTTGCAGAGATCACCAGTGCTTGCCAGAATACGTGGACACTCGCCAATGCCCGTAGAGCAGATGTGCCTGCCGCTGCCAAACTGTACAATTTCTTGTCTCCTCCATTCTATGCCTTCTATTCTGTTGTTAGAGGGATTGCTGGACCACTCTTTATCTATGAGATGGGCGTCTTCTATTCAAGTGGAGCAGCAGATGCTGTGATACCAAGGTGGATTTATGTTTCTTGGATGGTTGTGGTTGTAGTGGCAATTTCTGTTAGTATGTTATGGATCTCAAATCTTTGGGTGGAGCTTTACAGAGAAAGAACTGTCAGAATGGAAAAGAAAGTGAGATGAAAGATGCGGCTTTTCAGTTATCTTTGCCAACAATCCTTGACGAGTTTCGTATCGGAATGTCAACTTATTGGTTCTTCTCTCATGCTATGTCAAAAATGAAAACAATTAGCTACAGAGTTCATGACAATGGATTTAAACTTTTGCCTAACTTTGTATCCTCAGCACAATTTTTTGCTGTAATGAAATGTAAAAAACCCCATCTTTTCTCAACTACCAAGTAATAAAAGTTTATTTCCTCTGTAACCTATATTTTCTCGGTAAAAATTATGTTGTACAGAATTGGCAGTTTTTCATAATTTTTTTGCTTTGTTTTTATTCCGTGGGTTGTGGCCTTTTCTGCATAATTTTCTGGTTTTGAATTGCTTTGGATCGTACGTCCCTCCTTCAATCCCCTGTTACTCCTTTGAAAACCTTCTGAAAATGCAAGTGTTTTTTTTAGCATTATCAAGTTTATCCAACAATTGAACTGCAAAATATATGTGGATGATTCACTTTCTTGTTTGCAGTTTGTGGATGTATGTGTTAGCTCACCTGTCAGAATTTAGTTCTTTAGAGATATCTGAGACTGAAACTTAATGCCCCAAACCTTCACACTCTTCAATGTTCCATAAGAATTTGGCGAGATGGGGCTATGTGGAAATTGGTAAGGTCTCCTTATTTGACATGGTGGTCCCTCTTTGATGAGTAGAGATTACAGACACCACTGGTGAATGGTAGCCTTGCTTTAGTGCAAAAGCATTTCGAAAGAAAATTACTGTAGTAGTTAAGCAATCTCTTGTACATATCATATTATGCATGATACATAGAATATTCAAAGCACCAAGAATTATCTAAGATTGCATTCTGGAAACAAATCAAAGTATTATGCCATTTCAAATGTATTAACAAATTGAAAATTTAGTTTTTACAGTGCTGTAAAATTGGACCTGTTCATTACAGCTTATAAGTAGAGATCAAGCTGATGGGGTGTGACTAGTATCGGGGGAACTACTTCAAGGTCTATTTAGTTTTTCCCCAAAGACCAGAAAGAAGATGATGATTTTTCCTGCAGCATTTTTGGTATTGTCTCACCAGTAATCTTTGTCCACGCTGCTGCCAGGTACGTTTGATTGAGAAAGTGAAGAAAATATACAAAGTGGCACTAGTAAACTGCCTATGCACAAAACGCCAGACTGACAATTCTTTAATGTTGATGAAGGAAGCTTTTGGTGATTTAAACCATAATGCCTGGCCTGGCTGTTCCACACTTTCTTGACCTACTACAGATTTTGGTGATTCAAACCATGGAGTTCACTGTAATTTCTGGAGTCTTGGGGGTTATCTTATCTGGATGGTACCCCTTTTCCTGTGTTGTGCATACCAAACTTGTTGTGTTGGTGCCTTGAATTTGACCCGAGAAAAACTTGAAGACAATTTTATAGTGGTCTGTGGTGGAAGCAAAAGACTTCAGTGCAAAGGTATCACAATTGAGTTAGTTGCACTTGGATATTGCAATCTCAGATAGGCAGATATCGCAAGTATCAGGTATCATACACAGGTGGATAATGCAAGTATCCAGGGTCACAGACCACTTGGATATTGCATCACATATCAGGTGGATCCGCAAATCGTCTGGAATCTGGACTCGCAATAGCCTGGTGTCACAGCCTAAGACTCACAGTGAGATCTCATGAGATTCGCGAGATCTGGTTCTTAGTAGTTTTGTGGGGCTGACCCGGTTTAGGGTTTTCTCATTTAAATAATCTTGTATCATCTCGTATATTGTATCTTGGGGGATAGGAAAAGAGGGCAAGAGAGTGTAAGAAACAGGGGAGAGGGAACTTCAGGTGTTTTGAGAGTTAGGGTTTTGGTGGGAGGCTATGAACACTGTATCTGTAAATCTCCATTGTTCTTTATTTTTTGCTAAATAAATTTAACTAAATTAGCAAAAAACAGAAACATAGGGTTCAATACAAATTGGAGGGCTGTCCCAACTCCCACACTACAAAAAATACATCAAGGAATTTAACTAGTTGAGCTAAGGAATGGGCAGCCCATTGTTCATTAGTGGATTTCTTCTCTTTGGAGACCCTCGTGGACGTAAGCTGTAAGTCAAGGGTGTGTTTGTGTGTGCTTTGTTTTTACATTTTCCTTCTGATTTTTCACTTGCAAATCGGTTGTTTTGTTCCTGGATTTGTTAGCTTCACAACAAAGCTAATAAAATGCATCTTCACTATTGGTAAACAAAAGGGTTAACCAATGTTTCTAAGGCTCAGTTTGGAAGGAGTACAAAACCTTATATTTTGTATTAGTTTGTATGCATTTGCACTGCACATATTTGTATTTGTACTCCTTCCAAACTGAGCCTAATGGTAAAGCTTAACCAATGAGTTAAAGAAGAGTAAAAGTAATTGAAACGTTTCGTTTCTCTCCTATTTTCCCCTCACCTGATGCACAATCCTACAAACAGCAAACGAATGGCACAATTTAAAGACTGGGTCAACTCATCCCAGTGTAGGCCGAAGAACACCCAAACTAAATAAATAACACACTTTGCTAAAATAAATAAATCAGAAAATTAGCACCCCCCAAACTTCTTCCTTCCCATTTTAAGCTAACCCTTGCTGATGATGCTCAAGCCATGTCATGTCATCAAACAGAACACGGACCTCTCATCAAAGTTTATCACTCGATTGCCATCAATTTAGTATTGGATTTAACTGTTGCTTTGAGTATTCTCCCATTACATAGTTTTTTCTTCTGTTTCATAGATAAGCTCTTGGATCAGTGAAGCACATCTGCCCCGAGGATCATGCTCAACCTTACAGCTGAAGGCTGACATGCAGATTACTGAGATACTTCTTGTGTCAACATTTCCATGGCAGTTACTGCAAAGGTGCCCTGTCCAATGCTTATAGGCTTAGCCAAGTTACCAGGATTTACAGAGATGCACTTTACTTCCCACTCTCCGTCATTTCAATTCCCAAGGGACGGTAGCTGTGCAACAGAACAGGTAAGCTGTAGCCTGTAGCATGTAGGTAGGTTAGGTTATGTTGAATTGATTCATCATTCATCTAGACGGGTGATACATCATGCCAGTGTTGCATGTATTGGATTCTTACGCGTCATCTGGTTTTTGGTGTGATAACTTCATCGCTACATGGATGTCATCAAGTAATATCTACCTTATGGTAGGATAAAGTTTCTGCTGGAAAGTAACATTTTGCTTTTCCACTAGATGCATGATAGAACTCATAAGACATTATTGTGATCCCTGTTCTCATATATAGAGTACTTCTGTTCTGGGTGACAGATGTAACACTTAACATTTACAGGTATGTGCTGTCGCTACCTTAATGGAATATCTCATTCGTCCAAATATTGATACCATTGAAATATAAAATACAATCATTTTCTTTTACATTATGGATGTCTCATAAGTCATAAAGCCAGAACTTATGAATCTTTTGTTTCTTTTTCTTTTCTCCTCATTTTATTGCTAGGCTTTTATCTCCCTGTCTCCCTGTAGCCTGTAGGAGGGTATAATCATTTATCTTTAATCTTTTTATTTTCACTTTTCAGTGCTTCCTTTCTATTTTGGAAAAAAAAAAAAAAAGATAGACTTCAACCATGCCAGAAGAGAACACTTCATTCAGAGACCAAAGATTCTACAAGGACTAAGGAGTCCATGCTTCAAAAGAAAATATCGGTGAATGACAATTCTTATGTCATTAATTTATTTTATTTGTTTTGGTATAAAGGAAGATAATCACAAGAAGCTACACAAAAACACAAGCCTGGGGATAGTTCTTCCCCTCTGATCCGCATTACAAAGAAGTAAAATTGACCCTTCCCCTATTACCTAAATTAACTAACCAATCTGCACTTGCATGCCTTCTTATGTTGCTTTCAAGAGATCTGGACCAAAGGAAAACTTGTAAGAACACACAAAATACAATGTAAACCTGCAACCTGGTTGGTGGTCGGTGACTCAAGAACAAAGAGTACCTTTTTACTTGGATGGATCCTCCCAATTATGTCGTCCTCAGGATTCTCAACTTATTCTTGTACACCACTCTGGCCGGCTCAGATCTGCGGGTTGTTCCCACATCCCTACCTACGGGAAATTACAGCTGCGCATTGGGAATATCTTCCTTATCATTCATGGTGAGATATTCCCAATACACAACGGTGGTGTTCTGGGTAAACAATTTGTAGGTAGTAGATCCAGAGTACACTCTGGCACTCTATATCTAAAGGCTTATCCAAGGAGAAACTTTTTGTTCGTTGACAAAAATGGTTACTCAAAAGTTTGGATAGGTTTACAGAGTTGAGCTTATTCCCAGTGGTTCTAGGCGTAAAATCAAATGGCTCTGGATAGAGGGTTTTACATCGATCTGTTGGCTGGATTGGCCAAGGATTCTCCTTTTGTATCTTCATGTTCATCTCACTTAGAATCCTGCATAAGAAAGGTATAGAAAAGGAATGCCTATAGAATCATCCAAGGTTCAAAGTATCGATACGATACGAGTTTCGGTCGTAGCGTATCCGTACTTATACATACTTTTTTTTTTTCAAAGTTTAGTTTTTTGGGAAGCTTATAAGATATTTTTTATTATTAAAAAAATTGGGGGTCCAAAACACCTGGAAACAGGCGTTTTGGAACGTATCTTTTTCAAAAGATACGGCATTTTGGAACGTATACGATATGATACGCCCCGTATCGGGCATATCGTATCGATACTTTGAATCATGGAATCATCTAAAATCTCCACTATTACCAAAGATAAACAGGTGATGAAATGATACAACATACTACTAAATAAATGTGATAATCCAAGAAATGCTCCCTTTTAGTTTTTAATCACATAAGCAGACCTTCCATCCACATTCGTTTAAGCCTTGTTTTTATTGTTTTCCCTGACTGTGATCATCCGCATTCCATTGGACAATTGATGCGTGGGATGACCACAGAGCAGTCTCCCTTAATGTGAATCACTAGCAAGTGTTGCTAGTAGCATAGCATGCATTTCAACCTCCCCCGCATCTGAATCTGTAATTTCAAGTTCAATATCTCCCGCCATGAGAAAGGTCTCAGAGATGGGATTGTAGATGGTTGAAATTACAATTTCAGATAATGATTTCTTTTTCTTGATAAGCTGCTTAGGATCATCTTCTGTTCCATTAAGCTGTTGATCATTACATGCCAACCATAGCATATCAGGAATCCTCGTGAACTTTACATTCAAGTATTTCTGATGTTCAGCTGGATGCTTATGCTTTTCAGGGTGTTTGCACAATTTCTATGTTTTTAGGAGATCTGGGCTCTTTTTGCACCAGCCAGACCATATGAAGGAAAAAGGCACAACTGAAGCATTGGTGACAGGGCCACAGGGGAAGCTCATATAATGGCTAAGGGGTACAACTCAGGTTGGCCCTAGTTACCATTTTACACAGCTTTGGGTTTGGACCTTCGGGCCAGGCCCATTTAAATTTTGACAAAAGCCCAATTTGAGATGCACCCATAATAATGGGCTGAAGAGTATGGCTCCCCAGTCCCCAACAACAGTGTAAATACATACAAAATACAAGGTTGTTACACTCTACAAAATTGTATTCGTATTCTTTCCCAACTAAATGGGAGCATTTCTCAGGTTGTGGGTAATAATACCATTGACGGAACAATTCTAGCCAAGCTTAGATAACAATACCAAAGAAAAATTACAATGAGAGAGTGTCTGTCTCGCCTTGACGATGATATACAAAATTCTAAGTCTCCATCCAGGCCTCTTCTTCAGGATTCAAAATCATCTAATCATCTGAATTACATTCACCATTTCTTTTTGCTTAATCTAGAAAATTAGGCTGCGTTTGGAAACGATGAAAATAAGTGTGAATGTAAATATGGTGTAAAACGGTTAATATAAATTGTAAAATTGGGTTAGTTTTACACTGACAAATTTATCTTCTTACCAAATAGGCTTTTAGTTGTAATTGATGCAAACATGAATTCTAATAAAGCATATGCTTTTTTTTATTAAAAGCCCATTTGAATGCAAATTTATTGATGTACTTTTACATCTTATTATTAAAAGCTCATTTAAATGCAAATTTATTGATGTACTTTTACATCTTATTATCAATGTGAATATGCATTGGTTTGTAATTTGTCAATGCATAAATGTAATGTTGCCAAACACAGACAAAAGTGAAAAGAATTTAAATTTACCCTGAACTAGGATTTACACTCTATTTGTATTGTTTCCAAACGCAGCCTTAATTGTAAAAACACTAGGTTTTTTGTAGGGAATTCAAGAAGAATGTGTTTTCAACTATCAGTTCCCAGCCGATCGAGGAGAGGAAGGACTCAAAGGATTCTATTGGGTTTATGACGTTAGATTCTCTTCCGTAGAAAGGTTTCCTCTTCTGCCGTGCTGGTATATTTTGAAAATTCAAACAAGAGTCATCAAGGACATTTTATTTTTTTTCCGTGAATATTAACGGTTGAATGCTATGTTTGGAACCCATAGGGTATATTTAAGTAGCTTTCTTTTAATTAATTTATCACTAGAACATCAGTAACTTTTCAGTTGAAACTGGTAGGAACCCTGAAAATATTTATTTCCAAATTCACATCAACTTTACACGATGATAATAGAGAAAGCATGGAAGAATAGAGTTCATTCACAAACACAAATGCAGAGAAGCAGTTCGAAAACAAACACGAAACTCGGTGAAAAATAACCCTTTTATTTTGTGCTCATATACACAGTCCACCTATCTATCGGTACGTATAGAACGAAATTGCAAGAAGAACCAAGTCATAAGTCCTATTTACTTAAAAACTCACGACATCCAACCAGCAGCTGTCAGCTTTGGGTATATATATATATCAACATTCTCTCCATTGTCATCATATGGATCCCTCTAAGCATTCTGTCCTCTTGTAATGTTAGCAGAAGATGATCATGAATAAAACTTGTAGGTTTTGGCCTGGATAATTATCTGCCTTAGCCCACCAATGGGTGAAAAAATCATCAACATAAGACCCAGTATGATGCAAATCTGGAAATACATTGTGCAAAAGTTGGTTATTAGTATATTCTTCAAAACAGCAGACTAGCAGAGAGAGAGAGAGAGAGAGAGCTATAATTAAGCATTACCCAATTGGTAATCCAAGATAAGCTGAACCTTTTAGGCTTGTAAATGGCGAGCCACATGATGCAAGGGAGCTATAAAGAATACAAGCATGATTAAGTTTGTTAGCTATTCATTGTCGAAGGTTGTAATGCAATTATTCAAATTATTTATTCATAAAATTGAGAATTTTTGGCTTACAAAGTAGGTAGTTGGTGCAAAAGCAAACCCTCCAAAGAATCCAAGAAGCCCACCAAAGAAAGGGAACGTCATAGCAATGAACATTGTTAATGCTGCAAAAGCGATGGAAATATGAAGGTTCAGACAGACACAGAAAAGAAGCAACAGAAACCAATCCAAGCACTGAAATTTAATTACAGTCAGTGAAAGAAAGAATGTAAAGAACCTACCAACATATGAAGTGCGAGCAATCAAACGGAGTCTAAGTCCAGGGGTGAAATGCAGTTTCTTAACCAACACTGTTTCTATCATGTCAAACACTGGCATCGCATAAATCTAAAACAGCACAAAGAAAGGTCATGGTGGTAATTAATTAATGGTTTAAGAAGAAGAAGAATAAAAAAAAAGAGGAGAATCCCATTAATTAATTAAGCTTCACCTGATAGCTTCCAATAACGTGAATGACAACAAACATGTTGGCCATGGCAATTAACCAAGCAGGCTTCTCCAGTGAGATGAGAATATTGTCTGCAACAGAGTTGCCAAACATCCAATAGCCGATCAATGCAACCGGGAAGTAACAAGCAGCCACAATAATATAGGCAAAGATGACACCCTTCCACATGGGTTTCTTGGATGGCCTCTCAGGAGTTGAAGGGATGGTTGCTTGAATCTCCAAGACAACATTGTGCCCAGCATATGCAAATGCCACATCGCCCAAGGCGCTAAAGAAGTTAAGCACGGTTCCAGCAGTGCTCTCGGATTTGTACCCATACTGCACATCTGCTTGAACTCCCTTATCAACAGAAGCTCCCCAAGCAATGGTTGAATAACTACAAAACCACATCTTCAGCATCTTCAGCAGAGAGAGAGAGAGAGATCTAGAGAGAGAGAGAGAGAGAGAGGGTACCTCAAGGACATGACTGCTGCAGCCAAAGAGACACCAGAAATGGAGTTAAAGTTGGGAAGTTGAGAGAGGACAAAGTGGATAGAAGCAAAGATCATGATGAAGTAGCTGCGCTTAATATCCTTGCAGCTGCTACACACTGTATCATGAAACTTCTTCAAGGATTGCCCTCCAGTAACCATGTAAACTATGTTGACACCAACTTCGACTACCAGCTGCTGGGGTACAACGATCCAGAGACCAAGCTTCTCGCCAAAGGCATATTGACCCAACTCATGGTATCTGTCGAACCGCTTCCCTGGAACCATCTCATGCATCTCGACCATTTGCCACAAGGTGTACAGAGTGATGACCCAAGACAACACAAGTATGGCCACACCAGGACCCCTAATTAGGAATTAAAACCAAATTAAACAAACAAGTAAGATTTCCAACTTAATTTTGATGGGTAAGCGATGAAAACATCAGTTGCAACCGGAAAATAAAAACTTGGGTTTGCTTCTTCAGCAATATCAGATATCTGATTTTGGGAAAACAAATCATCGTCGCTTGGATAAACATACCATCCGAGCTCCGACATGGCAAAAGGCAGGCTGAGTACTCCAGCTCCAACCATGGCGGTGACATTGTGAAAGGTTGAGTACCACCACTTAGCATTCCTCGAAGAAGTGATGGGAAGCCAGTCGTCGATTTGCTTCTCCTTAGCCGGTTCCTGGTTCTGAGATTTAACATCAACCATTTTTGTCGTAATTTCTTCTTAAGTTTTCACCCAGAATAATCAATCACAAGCCAAGATATATATAAACTGAAAAGAGAACTAAAATCCAACAACCAGAAAGCACTCAGAAATGAACCAATAAACAAACTGATATAAAAAGAATGTGTGATGGAATGAACTGGGTTACTTATAGATAGAATTGACAAGGTAATAAAAGTAAGGGGTTTGAGTTGGTAACAGAGTACAAGTATCGAGCCTGATTCCTAGAACAGATTTTCGAATCTCTGTAGTCTGCTGGGTATCTTTCCATACATAGTGACCAAATAAGTTTGTTAGCGAAAAAATAATAAAATAAACTGTTGAGGTATCAAAGAAGAAAAGCCGTTGTGAGATATTTTTTTGGTTCGGGATTTGCGGATCACAGAATCTCCATTTTCAAGTTTTGACAACGAATCAGGACTGGTCGATAGTTAATACCATAGGAAATTGCTTCTCAATTTTCCTTCCATTTGGTGATGTGGTCATGAATGGCTCATGCGCCTTTTACACGCTGCAGGCAGGAAAACAAAAAGTCGTCCTTGTGGGGCCACCATACTTGACAGTGTATGTGTATCCCAGCCGTCTGATTGGTTAGTCAAAATATTAGTAGGACCATCTCGGGAGGGAGACCCAGGATATTTGCCACGTGTACGATTCTGCAAATACTCACTGGACAGAGGGAGAATCAGAAATCTCAAATCATGGATGGCAGCACAAGCAACGCCCAACGCAGAGCGGACGGGATAACCAGAGTGAGACTGAGAGTGATAGCGTCAGCCTGAAAATAAGGATGGCTACGTGCCCACCGGTGGAGGCCAGGGGAGTGCTTTCCCTCAACTTTGAAGGAGAGAAAAGTTGTCACCTCTCTACCCTACGACCTACGTTGCCTCATGCCACGTCATCAAACTAATGTCCAATGTGGCGTATTGTGATTGGCCTAGCGTTACATGTCCAACTGTAAGGAATGGTACCAACAAATCACATGGATGGATCAGGACGGAGCTTTTGGAGATTGGAGTGATCTCTCACTCACACAAAGCACGCGGTTCCTCATGCTTTCCGTATTAATATTAAACCAATTAAAACGAAAAAGATATACCATAATTTGCACCAGTTAATTCCTTACTGAAATTTTCTTGAACTGGTAGAAAAAGAAATTCCAAGAGATAAAATTAAAATAAATCATCAAATTTTCTCTCTCTGAGTTTTTTTTTTTTTTTTTGAAAAGGGCAAAAGGCCACAGCACCCAATCACAGTAGAACAGAGGAGCTAAGTTGTAAATTACATTTCAGTTGACAGATGAAGAGAGATACCAACTCTATTTTTTCAATGCAAAAAAAAAAAAAAATCAGGTATTGAACAAAAGACAAATACAGGAGAAGACAAGTTGCAACGAACTTCAATTTTCAAAAAATATATAAAAAGTTTATAAAAGCAACCAGTGGAACGACGTTGCGTTGCAAGTCAAAGATCAAAAGAGAGTGCTGGGTATGTAAAGGCCAAAAGCTAATACATAGCAGTGAAGGAAGCCATTAAATTCGAGTGACCAACATAACAGTTCACAAATCAGGTGAGCGATCTCGTGGTTTTCTAACTTGACCAAATCAGTGCAGAGAGAGAGAGAGAGAGAGTGCTGGGTATGTAAAGGCCAAAAGCTAATACATAGCAGTGATTCAGTTGAGTTCCATCTCCCATCAACGGGAAAATAAAGAGCAGTGATTCAATGGAGCTATAACGGAAGAAAAAGGAAAACATAACTGAGGCTTCACCACTGACATCATAGCAAGATACTTGAGAGTGAAGGCAACCCATATCCAAGAAATCAATAAGAAAAACTTCAAAACACATACAGAGACTCAGAGAGAGAGAGAGAGAGAGAGAAAGAGGGAGGTTACCTTGTCGGAGACAGTGGAGTTCTGGTCGTATGTAGTTTGGGTTCCCATGGTTGCAGAGTATTGCACAGATGCAGAAGGAAGAGACAAAGTAGAAGAAGATTGAAATATCGATCGAAAGGCCTGAAACTAGTCTGTATTTAAAAGGAACCGGAGCGAAGTTCTGAGAGTAGAATTGTTGTTGAGATGAATGTATTGGTTTGATTCGGAAGGTGTTGTATTCCAAAAGAAAAGACGTAGGAAAATTACTTAAAATAGAACACTGTTTGGATGATGAGTCTCTCTCCTAGTCCTAGCTATCCCCTTGTCCTTAGGCTGTGTCTTCGGAAGATAATTCTAGCAAAGTTTAGAATTTCAGGCCAGTTATAACTTTTGTTTTCCTGATCGGCTGATCCTAATTAATTTCCTTGATTTTTTTTATTATTTACTCCTCATTTTCCTACCAATAACAAAAATGGCACACGACACCCCCTGAGTTGTTAAATTTCTTATTTTAACCAGTCATGTTTTCTATTTTACAAAAACACCCATCGGCACACAAACGTATGCACAAGTATATTTTTATTTGTTTATCATGTATAATTAAAGGCGTAACCATTAACTACAATGCTCTATTAATTGTCTAAATCTAGGAAATTGCCCAAAAGGAGTACTAAATGAATAAAAGGTGAAGAAGGAAAAACCTAGATTTGTGGGTTAATTAAATCCTTATCAAAATTAATTTTCTTACGTGTGAGCGCTCATAGGATAAGTTTGGTTTGATAGAAACTTCTATCAACTTTCCGTTTCTATCTTGTTTCCTATCAAATTTAACATAACCGGGTTAATTAAATCCTTATCTAAATTACTTCTCGATATATATTTGGTTTGGTAGAAAATAAGAGAGAAATAGAAGATTAAAAGTAAAGTTTTGATACAATTATTTTCTATCAACTTTCTATTTCTGTCTTTTTCCATCAAACTAAAATGGCTTTACTGCTTTTGTATTTTTTGAAGTACAAGAGCATGAAGTATGTTTTTCATTTCTACCGTGTCTTTTGCAATTCAGTAAATATTGTTTTTAAAACAAGCTTTTAATAAAATCATAAATAAATATGTAGTTACGCCATGTTGGTTTACCACATGTGACATGATAAATCTCATGTGCCAACTTATTATTTGCTGAAATTTATAATATAAAAATGTCATATGACCTATACTCTATTGTTGTGACATGTCGCATATATTTTGTCACATTTATAGACATCAAGTTTGCATATATTTTCTCATATATTACAAATTTGCCACATAATATAATATATATATATATATATATATATATATATATAATATTGCCATATGACACAAATTTTTCACATGACATGTATTTACCCATGTGTCACAAATTTTGCCACATTGGTAGATATTTTGCCACTTGCCATATATATTTTTTCATGTATCATATATTCATGGGCATCAAAACATATCCATTTGTTTATGGAGATGAATGAAGATTGAGAGGGCTTGAAAACTCATAGGCCATATGACAGCCAACATGAATTAAGAATTTGGTGTACAAGCTACAACCTAATATAACAAAATCTGTATTAATTCTATGTAACTTATCTTTGCAAAAGAAATATTAGGACATGCGTGGACATGAGCAATATATAATCCCGGTCCATCCAATAATTGAATAAGAAAGGATTCATGTGCACTGAGGCATTCATCATTCGTTTTGGTTTTATAATTTGTAAGCAAATTCCCAACCAGAAAAATAAAATTATTTAAGTTGTATTTGATTGCAGTACAAATTTCATTTGCATTGGTGTAAATGCATGGGAATGCCAAAGGGCTGCATGTAAATTATGGTTGCTTCAAATTTGACTTTATTTTGTTTATTTGTGAGATATAAAATAAAATGACCTCTACTTTAAATGAAAGTAGGAGGAGAATCAGCTATCTACGAACAAAGTATGGTGCAAGATGATCCACTTTATACGAGGAAGAAGTGAGCACATAGGAGGAAGGTGGTGCAAATTTTGCATCAGTTTTTGGGATGCAAAATTTGCACTGTTAGTGAATTGAGTAAAAATTTTGCAGCCAAACAAGAATTGCACTGCAGCCAAAAGTTCTCACCCCGAATGGTGTCGGATATTCTCCTTCTCTAGTGTATCTGCAGCTTCCTTTGCAATTTTATTGATTCAAGCACCTTTATTGTAGATTTAGCTCTTAATACTTTATTTCCCACGATCGAGGCAATGCCATTTTTTTTTTTAATTTTCACAGTGAAAATTTAAATAAAAATGTGAAAGTTTTATTTAATGTTTCCTCTAAACAATGTCAAGGAGCTCCCATGTTTTGAGCCATTTGAGGAATTTATATTTGTTCCGTTGTGTTTCTTTATTATTTATTCATCTCTCTATCCTAGAAGATAGACTTGACATGCTGTATTTGGTTTGGTAAAATATAAGAGATAAAAAGGAAGTTGAGGAAAAGTGCTTTAAGAAATTATTATTTTTTTTCGAAAAAGTTTTGAGAGAAATTTACGAAGTTTGTTAAGAAATTTCCCTCCTCACCTTCTAACATCCCCCCCCCAAAAAATACGGCAAACAAAAAAAGTCAAAGGAATTCCACCATCCCATACTTGGTTCCTTAATTTGTTTAATGAGGCTTTCGCTTTATTTTACTTTCTTTGTGTTTTATTTGATTAAAATTTTTATTCAGAAATAGTAATTGAATATTAAAAAAAAGGAGACAAGTTTGGGTAATGGGTATATTTATATTCCAACTTACAGAAATGATTTAAATGAAAATGATTGAAAATGCAACGCCACCATCTGTAGTTACTAAATTAATTTGATGGATGACGAATAATGGCATTACTATTTAATATTAGTTGTGCCAACTGAAAAATAAAATACCCACTGAGCTCTATCACCGCCAGCAGAGAACAAACAAGGAATTAAAAAAAAAATGATAATATAAATGCACATATAAATTAAATATAATGCGAGTAGGTCTTATTAATTTGAAGTATGGGCCTTTGGTCCAATAGTAGGATTGGACTTGGACAAACCATGTACACCCAAGAAGAATAAGGGGGTAATGGGCCTCTCAGCCTGTCATTAATATTTAATATGCAATTAAATTGTAAAACATTCTCCTTGTTGGCTCATGTGACCTTCCTTCAATTTCAGGAAACTTCGGTACAATTTTTCTTTTTTTTTTTTTTAAGTTTTAAGGTTATGTTTGATTGCTACTTCAGTTTTGTTTTTGACAATTTACATTCTTACTTAGTTAAAAAATTGTACTTCTTGTCTCCTTTCTATATATTGGTTCGGTAGTGTAAGTTTTGCATTTCAAAAACTAATGTAAAATTTTCACCACTTTTTTATTTATGTAAAAGTCTTTCTCATATAAAATAGGAACCGCATCATCTTTGCATCGTATCTTATTCCTAGAAAAATAATCCCCTCCCTTGTTCCTACTTCATTTTTCGTCTCATCAACAAATAAGGCAAAATCGAATATAAAGCAAATGTAAATCAGAATTTACTTGATTATTCTCAGCCTTTTTACGCTCCCATGCATTTACACTATTACACTAGTTCAAATGAAATTTGTACCGGAAATAAACTGAGCCTAAAAATGAAAATCAAAGCTAAAATCTTATTATTATTATTATTTAATTTAAGTGAAGTGCTGTTTGGCAAGTCTTTTTTGAACAGCCAAAAGACATCATGAGTTTTTACATAATGACCTTGGCAGGTAAGTCTTGAGCAGGCAAAATAAAGGCAAGAATCTCTTTCTAACTTCTCGAAATAAGCTTGAATTGAGCTTCTTGCGTCTTTTTGGAATGTGGTCTTTCGGCAAAAGGATTTTTCTCCAACGAAAACGGAAAAAGATTGAAAAGCGAACCACCAGACTTCTAAAAAACTAACAACCCTCACGGAGAGACACCCCAACTGAGGCCTAAAACTGTAAAAATTGAATATGTATTTGGAACTGTGGGCATTTATTCATTAAATAATAATAAATCCATTTATTGATACTTAGGCGCCATTAGACACTACGTCAGCAAAACAATGAATAAGCGCCTACCCGACAAAGGAAATGCTAAAACGAAGGTTTCCCAAACAGTAACTGCATACGTAAATCAATGATTACTTTTGCAAAATATGTACGTATAAATCCGCGTAATTAGAGAAATGCTGAAATAATATCTATAACATATTTTGGCAAGACTCCAGGGCATTTAAATAACAGAGACAGTCTAGGTCAATGACGTAAAATTTGTCATTCAAATAACAAACAAAGACAGTCTAGGTCAATGACGTAGAATTTGTGTAAAAACATTTAGCAGTTGGTAGGTCGTGACGTGGGAGATGTGACCCCTCGATTTGTGAATCTTCTTGTTTCCTTCCACTTTTTTGAATCGCTGGCGTCGGAGACGTCTATCGACCAAGAAAAAACTCTTCATAATCCTTTCTTTTTGGCCTGAGCTTGAGCTTGAGCTTGAACCTGAGCCTGAGCCTCTCCACTCCCCAGCAGACATCGGATCTGCTCTTCACTGAGAGCGCTTCGCCCAGATCCCACCCCCATACAGTAAGGTTGACGTACGTTATTTATTCCCCGGTTTCAATTTTTAAATCGCCAGTTTAGTCAAGCGAAGGCCACACATGAAAACCCGTTTACACTGTGGGCTTTTACTACATGTTACATTTTTCAAAATTTGCCACGCACTTGGCGTCTCTCTCTCTGAAGTTTTTTATGAAGCAGAAACCCAACGACAATTGCATGCACCTTAATTGTCAAATTCCCTTTGACAATGTTTGTCTCCGCATTTCAGTTGTTGGCCGGACTCTAACTAGTTTGTTTAATTCTGTAGATGAACCAATTAAGTCTTCCTGCAGCTTTAACTGCTTTACTCCATCTATATACTTATAAAAAAAACAGCAAAAGTCCATAATCGAAACCGCTCGGCTCTATCCTGAAGAGGAAAACCAAGTTCATTTTCCAAACCCATAAATATAAAAATCGAAAGACCATGTTGATTATTTTCATGCGATTGATAATTATATTGAGGAATATGAAAAGTCTACGTGAATGACATCCTTTCAAGAAAATAGATTTGCAATGCTGGATTGTAGTGTTTGGGTTTATCCCAATGGCGGATGCCTCAGAATTTGATTACTTTGGAAGCTAATTTATTTGTTCTATCTGCAAAAGTTAAGACTATAAAAGCAGAGTTGCCTCAGAATTTGATTACTTTGGATTCAATTTTTTTTAATTGTTAATTAATTTTGTGTATAGAGTTAATTTCTTTTCCTGTGACTTCATAGGAATGCTAATGTCACCATAAGAACGCAAAACCTGTTCAAGAAAATTTGTATTGAAGAAGAATTAAAATGAAGTATGGTGAAGAAAACGCTCTAATGTCTAATGTCAACTTACTTTGGGCTTGGGCTATGGAGGGCCCAATTCTTAAATTAGGACATTTGGAAATTGCCAATACCCAATGCATATTAAGAAAAAGGACCCAGAACGAGGGTCCCAGATCAGCCCCTTACGATAGTCCTATGCCCATCATCATGAGGAGCGGCAAACCAAAGTTTGGGGGTGTAAACAGGTCGAATTCGAACTCAATGAAGCAATATTCGAATTTGAATCCGATTAGAAAATTTGATATTTGAATTCGATTTAATATCCAATGGATATTGAAAATTAATATTCGATTTCGATTAAATATTCGAATCGATTTGAATTCAACCAATTAATTATTTTAGGTAATTAATAAATATATAAAATAAATATTTTATTTCTATAAAGTATATAAATATATAAATTATTTATATAATACATTTAGATATTTTATATATTATATAAAATTAAATAATTGGTCAAATTTGATTATTTATCGAATCGAATCAGGTCATATCTGAATTTGACCGATTAAATATTTGAATTATCCAAATTCAATTCGATTATTTTAAATCTCAAATTCGAAATTGAATTTTCGAATATCGTTAACACCCCTAACCAAAGATTGGGACCTTCTGCTACATTCTGGAACTGGGGAGGGAGATTTAATGCTACAGTTGGAGACCCGATTTGCTCCTCACATGGCACTATTCACACCCCTAACCAAAGATTGGGAACTTTCTGCTGCTTCTTCTTCTTCTCCTTTTAAATTTATGAAACGGGTTGGAACTTGGAAGCTCCACTCTATCTATAGTCTGTTTATACAATAAAATTATGTAAAAAGTAGAAATTCAATAAAGACGAAGTCCAGCCCTTTATTCAATCGGTCCTCATGTTTTTAGTTCCCCCACTTGTACTCAATACCCAGAAAGAAAGAAGAACGTTTATTAATGCAACTCCAACTATCCAACTTCAATTTAAGATTTAGTGCTTAACATCACTTGTGTCTTGGGATAACTCAGTTAGACGCTTAAAGCAGAGTTCGGACAGTAGCAACAACAACAACAAAGCCCACCCATTATTGACAGTCCACACTGGTTAGATTTGTTCAAGGGAGGCCGATTTCTTTTTTATTTATTTGTAAAGGAAAAACCTCTAAATTTCACAAATTTTTACAATTTCCCTGGACTACCTGAAATGACAGTGGATGTATTTTCCGTGTGCAGCTGTAATGTCTTGTGGGTAGTATGGGTATCGCTCTTGTAGTCTCCAAGATTCCAACATGTACACCGGATTTTTTTTTAATGATATGGATAGTTTTAAAATTTGGCTGTAATTTAGAATATTGGAGATTTATTACCTAATTGCAGTTCAGTTTGACTTTAGAATGATAGCTAGAGAGAATGGAAGTTGCAAATCCTCGAGAACCCTCAATGATTCTTTTCTATAGTTCTAGTTAATATCGTTTTCTTTCTTATCTCTAAAATACCGTTGACAGTAGTTGGCCCATCGATATTGATATACATGGTCCTACATTTTGTGGGCATACAGATGTGCACAGCTGAGCAAAATTGTTCTTATTTGCAAGTCAGAGAAAAACAAAAAAAAAAGCTTTGTTCAGATTTTAGACCAATAACAAGATAAGTTCAACATTCTACACCAGTCGTCTCCTAATATTTCTTGAGCATGATTCAGAGTTACAATTAGAGAGAAAGAAAGTAGCTTACTTTATACAAGCACACAACTAACTTAAATCCAGTATCTAAGGAATAGTTATTGGCATTACATATCTTAAATGCACAACAGGGTAAACTCTTAGTCTGTGTAAGAAGTAAGAACTTTGCTTCATTCCTCAATACCTCCACATCTTGTATCTTCTTCTAAATTTTCATCAAGCAATTGATAGCAATGATCGCTTGTGACCCTGATTTGACCCAAGAGCGTTAACAGGGTCTTCCAGTGCTAGGTCTTGTGCACCAAAACAGAAATAATGGTTCATTAGCTTCTTATTAACCGAGGCTGGCTTTTGGTTCATGTTCAGTGTTCCATCATCATCCAAGGATTGGTTTGAGCAAGAGGGACCTGCACTCTCGTTTCTAGAATGAATGCCCTTTTGTCTATCCAATGAAATAGGTGAAGACCTTGTCGATATCGAGAAAGAACTTGAAGGTGATCGGTCTGATTTAGTTATATATGGAAAGGCCTGAATAACACCATGCATTAGCCCTGCTGCAAACTTCTTCTTGGTGGATGGACTTGGAAGATTGCTTATGACGGGCAGAACCCTTTTATTGTTTGGAAGTGATGATGGTTTTGAGAATTGCTGCCTGAGTGGAGTCGGAATCTCTTCTAAATCGCTCCATTTTCTATAGGATGCCATTGGGTCGTCATCTCCCAACTTCTTGGAACCTTCAGATTTCTTCTCTTTCCGGCCAGGCCATCGAAGTAGAATTTTCAGGCGTCTCTTTGCATAATTTACTGAGCTTTGTTTTTTACCATCCAAAGTGCTATGATTCCCATCAACTGAATCCAAGTTACTCAGTTCACTTGAGCATGTTTCACTGATCTGATCACCAGCATCTGATGCATTCTCGATTCCTGTATACAAGAATATCTCTGCATCGGTGACTCTAAAAGAAGTTCCAGGACTGCCTCCAATACCTTGCATTTTTTGGTGAGAAACAATGGAACTTCTCGCCATACAACCTTGACAACTAGAGACCCCACCAGCAGAAATCAACTGTTTGATCAATAACTCCGAGGAAGCAGATTGTGGCCGTTGGCTAAGTAGATCAAGTGAGGTCATGCCATCTATGTCACAGATGTTTAGATTGATTGATGGTGCGGTTATTAAGAGTTCCACAAGGTTAGAATGAATATTCCCAAGCACAGCCATATGAAGAGCTGTTCTTCCATCATTGTTTCTGATGTTGATGACATCTTGAATGTTTGCAATCTTTCCGCAAATCAATTGCTTCATGAGCTCAATCTGTTGGTCCAATCTTCGGAAACCAGGCATTCTGAAACCGGATACAGCCATATGGAGGAAAGTATCTCCTCCATTATTTGTTAAAGAGATGGAAGAGGGAGATGCAATAATTAGAGCCTCTACCACAGGCAAGTGGCCCCTGTAAGAAGCCAAATGTAATGCTGTGTTCCCTTGATTGTCTGTGGAGGTAATTATATCGAAGGACGCCACCAGATCCTTGACTACCTGAAAATTAAAAGGCCAGAATATTAAGAACAATAGAAATGACATCTTTTGAACAGGTCAACTTCTGACATGAGTACCTCATGCGTGAATGTTTTACTTTTAGATGGAAATACCATCAAACCAACTACTAGAGACACCAATAGAAAACCATTGCATTTGATCTGTATGATGTTTTACAACCAAAAGCCTAAAAAACAAGGTTCATAAAGGTCTTAGGGTCATCTTGGAGGTACACAAGTTCAGTAACAGGTATATGCCAAAGCATAAAATGTGGTCACATGCTCATCCAAGTTGTTTGCAAATTCAATCAAGTTATTGATAACAAACTATTGACATYAAGGAAAAAACTAGGTTGTACAAGACTCATTGCATGAGACCATTAGGACAGCTTATTTAATCAATGAGGAGAAGAACTAAGGCTACAAATCAGGTCGTCCAATTTGAAGAATACCAACTATATCATGCCATGCATCAAAAAATTAGAAAAAAAAAGAGGGTCAGGTTATGGTTCGGGCCCATTGAAAATTTAACATATTCTAAAACAACCTGACCCAAGTTGCATCCCTAAGAAGAACACCTTTAGGGATGTAACCTGAAAGCATTTTTTACCCATAGCGTCATGTAACCTGAAAGTTTCTTCAGCCAAAAAGGAGAACTGCTTTGGGTAAGCACATCTGCTTCCATTTCTACAGAGCATTTTCCCCCAGGTGTCATGTGATTTGTATGCTTGAAGTTAACTACCACTTTTGTGTGTGTGTGTGTGTTTTCCTCATGGATACAACGTTAAAATGCATGCAGACATACAGATAATCATCTCACTAACTGAACTACCAATTCTAGGAACAACTTTACACGGAGAATGTGTTTCTCAGAATCTCTGCCCCAAGGTTGCTGGCTGGGGTTGTGACAAGTAAAATGGCACTCTGGCATTTTTTTTTCTCACCGTTCTGTTTGTTAGTGTCATTGACAAGATAGAAATAATAGGTATTCTAGAAAACATTTCTTCATTCAATATCATAGTCATGAAAAAGTCTGAATTGACAATCTAAAGGTACTTCTGCTATGTTTTTCTTTAGAAACAAATCTTAAAGGGTGTCATTTTACTTCTTTCTTAAATGAAAACATTTATCACCTTTCAGGAGAAGAAGAAAAAGAAGAAAAAAAAGGTTAACACATAAGCAGCTAAATAATGTTTCAATTCTACTTGCAATGAAACCATTTCATTTTATTTTTTCATGAAACTTGAATGCAGTATGTCATCACTTAAAAGGAGCCCTTTCCTGAGATGATCCATGTCAATCTTCTATCAGAACAGGAGAAGGCCCCATTGGTCTAGAGTTCTAGTAATACATTGATATGCAGATGCACAGGAGCGATAATGATTGCTTGACACAAAATCCTGTCTCAATGAAACAGTCTCAGGCATATGTGATACAAAACTTGCAGGGAAATGCCCAAAGAATCATAGAGAGCTTCCTGAACCCTGCCTTCATTTTCATCCAATTAATCTGGTAAGATATGTCAAATGTCTACCTGACTAAGAGACAATAAGAAAAATCTATCACCACTAAATCTTGGACAAATCTCAGTTTTTATTAGTTAAACATTATACTGATAATGATGATCTCTATACATTCAAGTCTCATTTTATAAAATCAAGAATTGTTCAACACAGATTTGAGTCTCTCCAGCATTTATATGCAATAATTCAGGCAAAAGTGTGTGTGTGTGGAGGGGGGGAGGGGGGGCCGCATTTACTGTGATCAGGACTGAATAGGCAAAAATGCCGCAATAGCATGAAAACATCCTAGAGTTTTATTTCCTACAACATTATTAAGGTTTCCTTAACTGAATGACATTTACAGATTGTATGGACTACTTACTTAACTATGTACCACTCAAAAGTAGGAACTTTTCAAATGAAAATCTAATCCTAGCAAAAAACAGCTGAATAGATGCAGAAGAGAAATAAGAATACCCACACGAACATCAAATAGAAACCTCACCTCAACCTGTCCTCTTCCGGCGGCTGCGTGCAAGACGGTAGAGCCCTGAGCATCCCTGTAGACCAAAATATCAGTGCAGTCCCCTAGAAGATCCTTCAGAATCTCTAAATTCCCTCCTCTAGCCGCAGCATGAACAGCTCTGCTGACCATTTCTGACCTAAAAACGGGAGGAGGTCCGGCTGGTTGTTCTTCTAAAACTCCTCCGCTGCTCATCAAACACCTTGGTGATACTGAGAAATCAAATAGGAGCCTGAAGACCTCAGAATTCTTACTTCTGGCAGCAGCGTAAAATATATCAGTAACACCATATTCTCCTTCCCCGAACACAAGGAGAGGATCTCTGTCGAGCAGTTCCTGGACAAAAGTCACATCCCCAGCCGAGGCAGCGGTATACAAAAGCCATCCACCGTAGCCAGCTCGTATGAGAGAGTTGCTCCCTCTCTTACTTTCACACTCAAGTAGAAGCTTCCGGGCAACCTGAGAGCGGCATTTTGCGACGTCTTTGAACTGAGCCTCGTCGTCCCAGACGGTCTCAAGCCGGCGGATTCGCCTGAGGGAGGTGAGCTTGATGAGTAGGTTGGGGTCAATGTGGAGGAGCTCCCTGACCAGATCGTAATGGCCATTAGCAGCGGCCCAGTCAATGGGAGACGCATACCACCACTGGTTTCCGGTGCTCTCCCACCGCAGAGGAAAGTAGGATGGAGGCATTTGAGACGATAATTATGGAACTTTGGGTTCAGACAAAAGAAGTTCAGGGGAAATAACAGCTTAAAAAGAAGATATAGAAAAACCACAATTCAATATTGCAATTGTCAAGATTCAAGTGAACAATACACGCAAAGTAATGTTGGTAAATGCAGACAAAGCAATGTTTTGCAAAGGAAACAAGAAAGGCCGAACTGGCTTTTTGAATCAATAAGACTCAGACACACACAAAAGAAAAGAAAAAAAAAAAAAAAAACAGGATTCTGGGGAATAAGGTAGACGAAATCCAGACCCAAGATATAAGGGGGTTGGGTTAAACAGAGTGAAGCATAGCCGGAGAACTACTTATTTAAGAAAAAAAAAAAAACCCCCATTAATACCCATTAATAGAGCCCTCCAATCTGCAACTAACTAGACCAATTAGAGCTCAAGAGTAAGCAAATGAAGAGGAACCAGACAATAAAATGGAAAAACCATGAACACCCCTTGGAGCACTGGTAAATATCGCAGAGGAAAAACAACGGCACTAACCAGAACAGCAAAGAGGAGGAGAAGGGGAAGCCTCAATAGCCATTATTAGTCCAAGGAAGCGAAACCCACAGAACAGATATGGGGCTCCATAGGGTGAGGTTAGAAGTAGTGTGAAAGAGAGTGTACAGAAAGCTGGGAAAGACGATGAAATGAAGACCTTTCTTCGGTGCTTGTACAGAAGAAATACGGTCATAAGGAAATAGAAAGCGAATATAATATAATTGCAGATAATTAAAAAAAGAAAAAGCTAGATTCCCTTGGTCCGTGAGAGTGCAGTGAAAGAAAACGATAGATAGATACATCTGGGGTGGCATCAGGCATGCCTATATGGATGAGGAGAGAGAAGGAGAGAGATATCTCACAAAAATAGACGTGGCTTGGAATAATTACAGTGGTGGTGATCAGAAGTACTTTGGAAGTTTTTGGAGAAAACCTCAATAGATTTTCAGAGTCCATAGCAAGATGGGTACATCTAATCCAACCTCCATTCGTTTGTTTAATAGTTAGACAGTGACTGATAATTTCTCCAAATTTTCCCTCATTTTACATTTGCAGACTTGAACATTTGAGAGCATTCTATACTTCTTTGTCTGGATTTGGAAACGGTTCTCCCAAATCCCGGTCCACTCAAAGGTGGGCTCCAGTGTTCAATCAATCCATAATGTGAAATGGGCCATGCCCAACCTGGTCAGATCTTGGTGGGCCTAACGACTACGAGATGTTAATACTTTTGGTCCAACAATTTGGTGTAATCGTTGGATAGTATTTATTACTAATCCAACTATCAAACAATAATCAATATTTCAGCATTCTCAAGTCAACCGGTAAGCAAGTAGCCAAGTACTTAGTACTCAAACCCATGTGGATCAACATAAATGCCTAAATACGGATCTGCCCATCTAGGCAAGAGCAAGGAAATGATGGATTCGGTTGATTGGTAGACGAGTTCGGGTTACCTAGTCAAATGGGTTGTCTCCCTAGCTACATCCTGATCCATGGGCATGGAAGTACCACATGGGTCGGATCTTTACCGACAGTCTACTAATCGGCTATGAGAATTGGTTGGATGAATAGAGTGGTTAAGTGGTTACAAACTTACAAAAGTGATGAATGGACAATTAAACTCTGCCTCCCTTTTGTGCAAGGTGGCATTATTTAATTGTAAACTCTGTCTCTGGGAATCATCGTCGGTCACCCTCCTCATTTGTGTAAGGAAGATCAAATGCATCCATTTGTTCGAAACTTCGGATCTATGTGCCTACTGGAGCCGTGGGATTGGATGACAAGATATCAGGTGGGCCTTCAGTTTGCTTAATCAAATTCTCTGATCAAATATATAATAGTTTCTTCTTCTTTCTTTTTTCAAGTGTTGTACTATATCTCCCTTAGTCCACTCTCAAATATTTTCTTTTTCACTTGTAACTTTTACCATTTGTCTTGCTGGTAAGGTTCAAAATTTTGACACGTATAGGCAGTATCGTATTATGAGCTTCTCAATACCCCTATAAGAGGTGTTTCGGAGTCTGGGCCTTAAATCAACCGATCTGAACCAGGTTAGAAAAAAAATAAAAAAAAAAATAAAAAAGAAAAAATGACGCAAGCATCGATACAATCCGATACGCCAATTTGCTTTGGTGTACTGTCCCACTGTCTGTGTGCTAGCTCTCCACTGTGCTGTCAAACCCAACTTGCTTTTCTCTTTATGACAGATTACACATGAAGGCACATGCCGCATAGTTAGTTACTAAAGAACAAAATCAATTGGGCCCATCATACCTTTCCAAAGCCCAACTGTTTCATTACTTGGGCACCTAGGATTTTGACTCAGTTTTCCATATTTGCCTGAACATGACCCATCACAGTAATTCCTTTTCCTTGCAAGTGATCAAAACAACAAATTACAAATTTGGAATGGGTGAAAAACAAAGTTTTGGCTGCAAAGAAAACTTGTGAATCAGGGTGACAGAGCTCTTTTCACTTTTGATATTACTCCAATAACACAAAATCATATCGCTGCAAAAGAGGTTTATATTTGTATCTCCTATTTATAGTGTCATATGCTTTAATAAAAATTAGAAAATAAACATTAAAATAATGAAGTAGGAAAGTCTTAAGGCATCCTATTTATTGCCTTCTTTGTTGATGTAGGAGTAAATCATGAAGCTGCTTTTAAGACCTTTGCAGTGTAGATGAAGCAACACGAAACCTAAAGCAAAGAGTAAGTAAAACCCCAAACAGAAGTGGACAAGAGTTTACATTTTTCTAATTTGCACTCCCATATATTCGTACTAGTGCAAAGAAAATTGCATTGCAAACAAACAGGAGCATACAAGTCCACTTTGCATGGTGGATGATGATCCAATGCGCCCAAGTGGTTATGATATAATAAAATAAAATATATATAGTAAACTAAAGTAAAAAATTATTTTGGGAGATGAACAGAAAAGGCCAATTGAGGCATTGGAAATGACACAAAATTGCACATGGGGGGCATTGAACCTCGTGGTTGTGGGGTTAATAGATGAGTTGGGTTGGCGTCAGCAACTTTGGATCACGGATCTATTAAGAGAGAGAGAGAGAGAGATGGTTCAATCTTGGAAAGGGTGTCAATTTAAATCTAGAAATTTATACAAATAAAACCCATTTTTCTTTCCTCACCTACATACACGAATAAAAAAGGGTAGTAAAGATTGGGCTTCTAAAAAGACCCAAAGTCAAAGAATATAGAAAAGCTTGGGCATGGGTATTAATGGACCTTGCCAGGGCCCAACCTTTTTCAAACAGTCACCCTCAAATCCCAACATCAAATTTATTTGTTGAACACCAAACACGTACCCCACAACCTGGTATTCCAAAAGGGAGGCCATGTGAGAGAAACAGCTTTTGGGCTTTTCAGGAATGCACTTAAAAACAGGATGATGCATAGAGTAGAGTGGATAGTAATAATGCAGATAGAGCCTGAGTTTCACTCCCTTTTTTTATTTTTTTCTTTCATCACTTTCTCACTTCTCCTGGTCCTAGTTATTGCTTCTACTCCTGCCTACACACGTTCTTGTTCTTGCCATAATAACGAAGAGCATAGCATCAATCAACCATGAATGCATCATCTTCCTCTCTCTCTCTCTCTCTACCTTGTGGTCTTCTTTAGTGGCCACTCGCAATCCATGGTGACCAATAATGAGCCTATAAATAATAATAGTCTGGGTTCCTGGGAGGCCCACCTCATATTGGGCTGGATTCTCTCAAGTGCTAGAAATATAAATGGAGATCTCTTGCCCTTTTCACCTAACAATTCTATGAAATGTAAAAGCCTTTAAACTTTGATGTAATATCGAATTGCCCTTGAAGAGAACGTTGAGCCACATGGGAAGAGTGCAAATACAAGATTTATAAATATCGTTTTCAAGGTTTTGTACTGTACGTATTTGTTTTTTGAAATCCTTCCAAACAGAGCCATAGGCCTTTGGTATGAATTAAAACGAGATATTTCAATAGGTACTTGAGAATTCACATCTGCACCCCACAAATGTCCCACAGCATATCCCAACCTTGTATTGAGAACATCTCCCAAAGTTGTCAGTGGGAGATATTCCCAATGCATGCTGAGATGTGCATGTGGGGCGTCCTCTGTGAGGCCCAGATGTTCCCTACACATGACGAATCATGATGGTGTCACCACTTACCAGATAAAGCTTGTAGTCCTAATTGTGAAGCAATATTGTATTTTATAATTCTATCAATTGCTTATTATTAATCCAAAAGTTGTTCTCCAAAGTCCAAACACCCAAGCACAAGAAAGGAGTAGACCCTCGCTTCCTTTTTTTAATTATTGTCATGGTAGTTGTAGCTTCCTGTATGGAATGTCAACCAATATTTTAAAAATTGACTCAGAACTAGAACCATTTTGACCACCAGTTTTTGGGTTAATGATTTGATTATCAGGTTTGAATGGATGGCCTGTTTCAATTTAAAAAAAATAAAAAAAAGGATAAAATGATTATTCGAATCAAATGGATTGGTGATTCTACCATACGGTTCAGTGAATAGTTAACCAAATCAATAGGTTTTGGCCAAAGAATGGATTAAGGGTGAAATGGACCCTGTTGCCCGAATGGTATCAAAGCTAAATGATCCAACCATCTTATTCAACAATGGTTCAAAAACCATGATGTCATTCATATGCATGGTTCAGCCAGAACCAGAATTATACCTACAACATCATTTTCCAAGGACAGGCACCTAGGGCTGTTTACGTTCTTTTATAATTAGAAAAGGACAAATATAAAGAACTAGTATCATTTTCAACAAGTTTCAAGACAGCCCAGCCCAGATTGTGTTTCACAAACAGCCAAACTTTTTCTCACTCAACTACCCACCCAACAACTAATCAACTGCACACATCACACCTTGCCCCGCGAGGCGAGAGAGAGATGGTCAAGGGATTCAAGATCCCTACAAACAAGAGAGTATTTATACAAAACTCTCACAGGTGACAGGGGGCGGTGGCACGGAACATTCATGTGCCTAGCGTTGTTACAAGCAGATCCAGACTCCCCATACTTTATACAATTTCTGACTATATAACTGGGCCTTACCCCGACATAATCTATCTATTGGATTGCATTACATACCAAAAAGCCCGTTCAGTTGTATATCGGGTGTTAGATTTTGATCTCATGAGAGATTAAATCTAATGGGTTTGATTGATCAATTACATGAGAAATTGTACATGTACATTTGATTAAAAAAATCAGTTTTTCTTTTATAAAACCCAGTTTTGAACTTGTCCCACATTGGAAAATTATAAGTTTTGTTTTTATTATTTCAATAGGAGCTGATTTACATTCCTTAGAATTAGTAGAGGAGAGTATGGGGATTCGATACTGCGCAACGCGTGTGTGCGGCACAATGAGGCGCTTTAGAAGCGCACTTTGCTCGCACTTGCAGAGCATTGGAAACTCAGTCGGTTTACAAGTAATCCCGGTGCAGAGCATTGGAAGGCAATTGGGAGAGTTCTTGGGTATCTCAAGAAAACCTTGGAACTTGGCTTGTTTTACTGTGATTATCCAACTGTACTAGAAGGGTACACTGATGCAAGTTGGATTAACGGTAATGGAGATAACAAGTCCACATCTAGATGGATTTTTGTCCTTCGTGGGGATGCAATTTCTTGGGCATCCAAAAGACAAACTTGTATATCTCACTCGACCATGGAATCTGAATTCATAGCTTTAACGGCTACTGGAAAAGAGACTGAATGGATTAGGAATTTATTATTGGATATAAAACTTTGGCCTAGTCCTATGCCTCCAATTTCCATTTACTGTAATAGTGAGGCAATTGTGTCAAGGGCCTACAGTGATACCTACAATGGTAAGTCTAGACATATAAGTCTGAGACATGAATTTGTTAGGCAACTGATTCAAGATGGAGTCATCACTATAACCTATGTGAGGTCAAGTAAAAACTTGGTTGATCCTCTTACCAAGGGCTTGGCCAGAGAATTGGTAAGAATGACAACCAAAGAGATGTGATTAAAACCCTTTACTTAATCACCTGTAATGGTAACCCAACCTGAACTGAAAATCATCAGTATTGGGTTTAATGGGTAACAACAAGTTACAGCAATGTGACGGTTAGCACTGACATTGAGAAATTTCCCATCACAACATAAACAGTGATGTCCGTTATGATGAGATGTTGAAATAAACTCTTAATGAAGTTCTGAAATGTGTCAAATAACGGAGCACATAGTGGAACTTCACCTATGTGAACATAGAAGTTGTGCCACTTCTCATGAGGGTTTGCAAGCAGATCCAGACTCCCCATACTTTATACAATTTCTGACTATATAACTGGGCCTTACCCCGACCTAATCTATCTATTGGATTGCATTACATACCAAAAAGCCTGTTCAGTTGTATATCGGGTGTTGGATTTTAATCTCATGAGAGATTAAATCTAATGGGTTTGATTGATCAATTACATGAGAAATTGTACATGTACACTTGATTGAAAAAATCAGTTTTTCTCTTTCAAAACCCAGTTTTGAGCTTGTCCCATATTGGAAAATTGTAAGTTTTGTTTTCAGTATTTCAATAGGAGCTGATTTACACTCCTTAGAATTAGTAGAGGAGAGTATGGGGATTCGATACCGCGCAACGCGCGCGCACGCGTGTGTACGGCACAATGAGGCGCTTTAGAGGCGCACATTGCTCGTTGATCACTGTTGATGAGATCAACGGTCACGATTTGATCGGGTGTGATCAAGAGGCACAATTCAAAGTTAATAGTCACCAACTGTTAACCACTTTTTAAACAGTCACAATGTTTGAAATTGTGACTGTTCAAGGTGCCTTCTCTAAACCAGCACCTACCTTTTCTTCATACCTCTTCACAAATTATTTAAAGAGCATGAATCAGACTCCAAAACACATAATTTCGAAATTCACTCTCTCACTCTCTCTCTCTCAGTCCGGTCTGCTACAGTCTCACAGAAGGTTTCGTTGGAGACTCTTCAACTTTGTTGGTTGCAGATTCTCGCCCAAGGCTCTGTTGTATCCTGGGAACGAATTTGCCTGTAACCCAACAGCAAACTCAGTAAAACTGAGTGGGGGCAAATAACGTTCTAAAGACAATGTCTTCAGACGTGTCTCAGAGCTTCTCTTCCAAAGTTACAGTGATCCCATCTTCTCCAACATTGGGAACATCTCCCCTAATTTTATGTTCTATTCATTGGGGGAGATTCTGGATAGGGATGGCAGTGGGACGAGTGTGGGGAGGGTTTTGTACATTCTAGACCTTAAGGCCATGTTTGGTTTGAAAGAAAAAGTAGGAAAAGGAAGGAAAAAATAGAAAAACCAATACAAGGTTTGTATAGGGGATCATAAAATTCGATCCGTTTGGAATTTGAATCACCTCTATCCAATATATATATAGAGAGAGAGAGAGAGAGAATTGTATCTCATTATAGGCTGTAATTTTATTAATTAAATAAGCCTAAAATTGAAAATTTCACATCAAACATGATCGAACAAAACAAACCCAGAAACCCTTCTCTTTGATGCTTTTGTGTTTTGCATTTGTTATGTTGGTGAGAGTTGATAAGTGAGAAGTGAGAACCCCAGCCGTTGTTGCTGCCTGCCACCACAAACCGTCACAGCGTCACCGTTTAATCTTCACCATCACCGGTCGCTGTGCATTAATCGTTCATCCCTCTCCTTTTTTTTTTTTTCCATTTTTCCCTTTTCATTTCTAGTTCCACCGAGATCATCTCACACTTGCATTTTTTTCGGTTATTCATTCTAGTTCCGTCGATAATTACATTGTTGTTTGTTGCTGCCCCCATGGCCCCATCCCCCAAATCCTTTTTGCCGCCACCGGTTGTTCATGTTGAAGGGCAGGTTAGGTCAAATGGTCAATGGTCGGAGAGACAGAGACACGAGACTGAGATCTGACATCAGATCGAATCAGATCATCGGATGTATGATTCGAAAATATTTAATCGAATTGAATCGGATTTGTATCGGATATCTGATGAAATGATATGAATACGATGGATTCGAATTCGAGTTCAAACCATATGATTTTTCTATAGAATTGAATTTGAATTTACTCTGATTTAAATCCGATCTGATCCATTTGCATCCCTAATCTCTTATTAGATCATATTCACCTTCCTAAACTTTCTAATCCATATCTGCCCTAAAACCCACAATAGGTTCACTAGGTTGGATTTTGAGAATCAAAACCCTCTATACACATATTATATTTAAACAATAAAATTTTCATTTATTTAATTAAAACATATAAAAAAACAATATAAACTATCAATTGTCTACATAAAATTCAGCACCGAATACATAAAGTTTATAAATTGAATTCAGTGTAATACGAATCCCAAAACCCATCGAACAGGTACCTGGGTAGAGTAAAAATTGCCATCCCGACATGAATCTACAGCTTGCCACGCTGTTTATATTAAACTCAGAGCATGCATGTTTGGGTGCTATGCTCTCAGGGAAGCACAATTTTTGGCATACCAGGCAAGTTCATTTTTGCCTAATCACAATCTTCCAAGTGGGCTTGGGCTTCAGATCAGCAGTGTTTGTAGAGTGTGCAGATATTGCAGAGAATCCCGTCGCTTATAAAGAGAGGAAAAGGCCTGATTCGAAGTATATGTTGCAGCATCTACGTTCGAGTTAGGCCAGTCCACACTTTGGGTCAGATGGAATAAATATTTGATCCAACTATCGATATCAGTCCAAAACCAGACTGCATCGAGTTTTGCGTTGTTTATTTTTCAATATGGTGTATTGAAAAGTCACGAAAATTTGAAAGAAGATGAGAATTATAGGTATCGATGGATTAGTTTTGAGTTGTGAAACCAACAATTTGAACAGATTGAAGGGTCGAAACGTTGAATTGGACGTTCTCTTTTAGTAATGGATTCAACAGTTTGGATTGTTGGAACCGACAATCCGGTCCTAAATATTCATCAAATTGAATTAAACCTGGTCCATTTCTAATGGACTCATTGAACAAAATCAGATAAGATGATGATCAAGACTCGATAGCATGAATATCCAAACTTTTTTTTTGGGTAAAAAACCATTGGATTAACACACTTTTAATTCAATGTCCAGTAAACGACCCATGCAACATCGAAGAGATGCCACAACCGGCCAGAGATATGCTTTTGAATTATGGGAGTTCTCTTCTACACTTGCACGATTAACGGGAGACCACAGCAAGAACGTTTCACGCAAACGCAACCATCACAAATTTGAACATCAGAAGTTGACGAGCAAATATTATCTCAGACAGACGTGTTCTTCGATATAACAGGCAGAATAGAAAGAGTACTACTTCCCCCTTTCAAAACGCAAAAAAGGGTTTATGACCCTCTTTTAACATTTTTCAACTCCAAATGACATAGGCAACAAGATCCTCTTAAGTAGTTTCTAAAACATCACAACTCTATGACTAACTTTATTCCAGCTCTGTATTTCGCCCTACCCTAAAGGAGACCCAAGACAGAGAAAAACAAACACAACTGTGTAGCAAAATAGCAGCGCTTGCTTAACGTTCCAGATCACAGTCAGTTGGTAGAGGCAATGTGGAGGATCAAGTCAATTACACGGGAGCTGTAACCCCATTCGTTGTCATACCAAGAAACGAGCTTAACGAAGTTATCGTTCAGGGCAATTCCAGCCTTGGCATCGAAGATGCTTGACCTGCCAAAATAAGCACAGTTTCGTGTTAGTTAATAGGCAACAACAATATTAATAATGGTTAAATGACTCAAACCACCTGATGACGATCCATGCATGAGGAGAAAGGAAGCACTGAAACCAAAAAAAGAAAACAGAACAGAACAGCTGCACAGCCACTCAAGGTCAAGACATGGAGAAACACTAAGCACTCAAGGTCTAGGCGAAGAGATGCCAATGATTTGTATTGTAGGGATTGGGGAGAAGCATGTGATGTGTTCAACATCCAAGGATGGATTTCCAAACAGTAGTGGGGAAAGGATGTTACGCCTAGAACTGAAATTAGTAAATAAAATTAGTTAAGCTATCCTCACCTGCTATCACCCACGAAGTCGGTGGAAACCACATCATCTTCTGTGTAACCCAAGATTCCCTTCAGCTTCCCCTCAGACTCCTCCCTAAAAGCAAACACAAAAACAATATTATATCATTTGTTAGAACAAATCCAAATCCATCTGAGGTGCCAATCTTAGCTCATTAAGAAATAACATTTTATCTAAGATACCCAGAATTTACCAATCTTTAACAACATCACCACAACAAACAGTTAACTAATCAAATATGATGGAAAGGAAAATTTGTCATACTTGATAGCGGCTTTGATCTGTTCGTAGGTTGCCTTCTTCTCGAGTCTTACAGTGAGATCCACCACAGAGACATCCACAGTTGGGACACGGAAAGCCATTCCGGTCAACTTGCCATTCAATGCTGGTAGTACCTTACCGACGGCCTTCACAAGTTACATAATTTGTATAATTAATCCACCTCGCATGATTTCTTTTAAAAACACCAAGGTCAAGCTATTAAACGAGAGAGGGGGAAATATCTGAACGATCCCCTCAGTTCTACTCGTCTAAAATGACATTTAATTTCATTTTAACGCTGAGTTCACAAGAATCACGTAGACAGTTCATAAGAGTCTAAAATGGAAAAGATCATGTGTGATCAGAGCAAACAGATTACTGTATTAGGTAACTACCTTAGCAGCTCCAGTGCTGCTGGGAATGATGTTGAAGGAAGCAGCTCTTCCACCCCTCCAGTCCTTGCTTGATGGTCCATCAACAGTCTTTTGTGTGGCTGAATCAGACAAGTAAAACAAGATGAAAAAGAAATCAAATTTACGATCCAAAACCAGAAAACAGCTATACAAGAACAAACAGATGAAAAAAGAAAGTAACCAACCGGTGATAGAGTGGACAGTGGTCATAAGACCCTCAACAATACCAAATCTGTCATTGATAACCTGATAAAATGAGGCAAAGTAGAAAGCATTAGATCAATTGTACGATGTAATTAAGTTCGCAATGACAAAAATGGGTTAGAGGAAGAAAGTAAACCTTGGCCAAAGGTGCAAGACAGTTGGTGGTGCAGCTAGCATTGGAAACAATGGAGATGTCGGACTTGTATTCCTTCTCATTGACACCCACAACAAACATGGGAGCATCTTTACTTGGGGCAGAAATAACAACCTTCTTAGCACCACCCTGTTCATCAAAATCCAACCCAATTCATCCCGCATTAATCAACTGTTGAAAAAATATTATATACCCACAACAGAATCATATTTATGGACCAATTCATAGCATTATGAGATAATAAACAACGACAATAACCAGAGAACAAATAGAAGCAGACCTTCAGATGGGCAGCAGCCTTGTCCTTGTCAGTGAACACTCCGGTCGACTCTACGACGAACTCAGCACCGGTCTCACCCCATGGAATCTCCTCAGGGTTCCTTCAGATTCAGAATGGAAAGGTAAGCAAATCTCATCCGTGTCTGGATATTTTCCGCTTCCTTTTAAGACAAAACCATACAAGCTGAAAAACAAAACCGTCGATGAGGGCTGTACCTGACACCGAAAACGGCGACTGGCTTCTCGCCAAAGAGAAGAGTCTTAGAGTCCTTGACCTTAACGTCGGCGTGCTTCCAGTGACCGTGAACACTGTCGTACTTAAACATGTATGTCTGCATAACACAAACAAAGCTAGAGTGAGTAGAAAGTAGAGAATAAAAACAAAATCGTTTGCGCAAGAACTGTTAGTCGTCTGATCTGATGGCTAAACGCTGATGAAATTATGGGCATTTCTTACAGCCAAACGCTGGCGAAATTACATTGTAACATTGCCCGTATGAGATCTCCTCTTCATCCATTATCCACGGTAAAGAGCTCCTCAGGATGTGCTCTTTGCAGCACAACCTAAGAAAAATCAAAATGTAAGTGTATGTGTGTGTGTGTGAGAGAGAGAGAGGGAGACGGAGATAATACATGCTACCGTGACTGACCAACCACGATACAACTTTAAGGAATCTAGCCGATGGATCACGATTGTAACAGATCAAAGAATGGCTGATAATCGGATCGAACAGCTAGAAACACTTGTGAAACAATTGCCAAGAGGCCGACCCAAGCAATGGGTTCGACAACTATTAGGAAATTTAGATGCAGCGACCAGAGAGTGAACGGTGAATGGATCCACCATTCATGTAATACGGCATATAAGAAACCATGTATGTATAAAAATTATGGTTAGAAAAGCAGATGGGTAGATGGTCTTACCATGTAATCAGTGGTGATGAAGGGGTCGTTAACAGCGACGAGCTCAACATCATCTCTCTGAAGAGCGACTCTGGCAACCAGACGACCGATTCTTCCGAATCCTGTGTTTTCATTATCATTTTCAATTTATTACAACAGAGAAATACGAGATACAAGATCAGATCTGAGTAAGATCCCAACATATAGAACCAAAGAAACCAAAAGGGGGTTTAAGAGATCGAAGTACCGTTGATTCCGATCTTAACCTTGCCCATGATTCTGAGAGACGGAGTGAGAGATATGAAGAAAAAAGTAGCACAGTGAAGTTGCAGAGGAAAGAAGCCAAAGGGCGGAGAGGAATGAAAGAGTTCGGCACTCGGTAGGCTTATAAAGGGGAGTAGAAAAGAAATGGTGGAGATGGATCCTCTTTTGAACTCCGGATCTCCTCCCCACAAAAGTCTACCTAAGTCTACACACAACACACTACCCCGTGCATTTAGAACATCTCCCCGTGCATAATATTTTTTGTAGGAAGGTGTGTGCCTGCGATGTTACGTTGGTAGATGTGGGTATAGTGATTGTGTTCAGAGAGGATTCAGGGTTTATTTTGAGCGGATTTGTAGAAGTGTCCGAAATCGGTGGTTTTAGTCACGTGAGCGGTTTTGGCATTTTGGTATTAGCAGAGTGGTTACGCACGCGTGGCCATATCACCGTTGAAATGGGGTGATGAAATGGAGATGTGTCACCAGTCTAACGTGACTTGTGCCCACGAGATGGGCGGTTGAATGTAGCTATGAATTGAAATTTGAAAGGTAAAAGTGTACGTGGGGAGTAGGGGTGAATTCCAGACGAGCAAGTCGAATAATACGAGCTTCAGTCAGAATGTTGAACTCGAGCTCGACTCGAATAAAAAATTCATAAGTTTGAATTCAGTTTGGCTTGAGTTCGATTTTGAGAAAAAGTGTTTTATAAAAATAAAAAATTATATATAAAAATATTGTTTATTTGATATTTAAAAATTAAGAATTATAATAATTAATAATTGTAATATTTTTATTATATATAGTATTTTTTATAATTTTATTATATATATATATATATATATATTAATATATATACATATTCGAATCGGTTGGTGAGCCTTACGGGCCAAACTCTAATAGATTCGAACTTGACTCATTTCATAATCGAACCAGTGAACTGAGCTCGAGCTCAAATCGAAACTCGGTAAAAATCAAGTAGAGACGAGCTCAAACAACTCATGAAAAGTTCAATTCGTTGTCACCCCTAATGAGGAGAGTAGGATTGGTGCCTTGGTGGTGGTTGTGAGGTTAGAAAATTTGGGATGTGGTGAGTGAGGCACGAAGTTCTAGATGGAATATATTACTCGACCTGTTCATGGGCCAGGTGGCCTGACGAGCCGACTCGGCCCTCGGATGGGCTTGAACAGGTATATGGGCCTGTGGGCTTAACCTCGGGCCAAAAAGCCTGTCTCGCAATAAATTTGAGCCAGGCTCGAGATTTGCCAAAATAGCCTAGCCCGACCTATAATTAAACCTAAAAACCCTAGTCGAATACCCCTATTTTTTTCACCTCTTTCCCTTATTTTTCCAGTCGAACCCTTCTTCTTCACATCCTTTTTCCCTTCTTTATATTCTTTTTTTAATGTAAATAAATTATAATTTATATTGATTATTGAATAGGGAAAATTTCTAATTTTTTTTATTAGGTCGGGCTTTAGGCTTTTTATCAAGGCCAGGCTCGGGTCCAAATTATAGGCCCGTTGGTCGGATCGGGCTCGGGCTCAGGCTCGAGCCTAACATATTTCCATTAATGAAAAGTAAAAGCCTGGCTCGAGCCCAACCCGATCCAACCCATGAACAGATCTATATATTACACATCTCCCATGAATAATAAATACAAAGATAAATTTCTTAAACAATGCAAATTGATTAAGTGTATCTCTACTCTTTGGAAATTGATTAACGATATGTCGGTATCTATATGATTCTTGACAATTAACTAAAAGTTACAAGTATCGTTAAATGTGGATCGAATGGCTGAAATATTCGTTTTACTCGTTAATTCAAGCTTAAGACTAAAAGATAAAGTTACCTTTATATCCCTTATTTTAATGTATATGTATGGATTCACTCAACTGAACAAAAGCGCCCGAAAGTAGAGACCAAGCACCATCGTCATCGTAGCTAACGAAGGCTGCTACAACTAACGTCCAAACAATGGAATTTTGGTTAGAAACTTAGAAGTATTATTTTTATACATTTTTTTATTTAAGGTCATGGTGACCTTAGCCAAGAACTGTCTCTTCTAGATGGTCCTCATATGGAGATTCCTTGATTGACTCTCTGTTTTTCTGGAGAAAGTAAAAGGTTTTCTACCGGCGACGCGCCGTTTGTTTCTAAAGCGTAAGCCGCAAGCGCACACGTATTTATATGGAATTTCTGGTGATTTGTATTGCAAAGAGACACAGTACCTCGTAGTCCTGCTGCGACACTTTGAATATTGGAAATTTGGAACTTGGAAGTGACCATTCAAACTTGTGAACCTTGTTCTGAACTTCTGATCTGATCTGAATCCCCTGTGCTTGTAATTGAAATGACTATTCCGCTTGGGAGTTGGGAATTTCAAAACACCTAAATGTCAGTAACAGACTAGTAACTCCCCCTTCACCAACCCTTATTAAAAAAGAAGGAGAAATCTAAATTTCATTCAAGAAGCTGGACCGAACAGTGTAATTGAGAACTCAAAAGGTGGCAAATTTTATTGGAAATTCCCCATTCTTTTTTAAAAGGGTTTAGACATTTTACTATTTTAGTGAAAAATAAATCTCCTCCAAATATATTTTGAAATGTTTAATGAAGAGAAGTTTTTTTCTGATTAAATGGCAAATAAATACGAGTTTACATTGGCAGAACGTGCCCAAAAACTTCCCACGAACACGTCTCAGTGTGCATTGACAACATCTCCTGTATTTGTCATTGGGAGAGATGTTCTCATTTTGAGGTGCATTTTGCGAAGGTAAAAGCCCGTTGGAGCAGCTTTTCAAACGATTGGCTAGCAAAGCCTGTTGGAGCAGCTTTTACTGTCTTGCATTGAGAATAGGGATAAGTGGACTGCAATCCACCTCAAAAATTTGAATTGCAGCACCCTCCTAGTCTACTAGTAGCCCCCTTATAAACCGCATCCTACCCATGAATTTGGCTTCAATCTATGGGTAGGATTTAGTCCACCCCTAGAAATCCTAGCTCCACCCTAGAGGTGGACTGAACTATAAATATCCCTTGAGAATATCTCTATTCTTACGTGCTTTATTTCATGGGAAGACATTCCCAATGCAAGGTTGGGAAGGGCTGTTAGAACAATGTGGGCATAGGTTTGCCCTAATGGAAGTTGATCTCTTTTCAAACATGAATAAGACAACTTTTTTAAGTTTGGTAAGCAAACAAGACAAAACTTTTAAGATTGGTTTTTCTTCGGTGCTTAAGTTAAAAATAAGTGTTTATTTGAATAAATACCTGTTTGTATTTGACACCCAATTTTTTCAAGTGATTATTTTTTGAAATAAGCACTTATTTTATATTGGGTATTTGATAGTCTTTTTCTCTGATAAGCACTTAAATAAGCATTTGTGATTATTTTGTCCTTCATTTTCATTCAAATTTTCAAAATATACCCTTACAAGCATTTTCAATAAATTATTTTTATAAAAAAACTTTTATGAAAGTACTTTTATGAAAAATATTTTTATAAAAATACTTTTATGAAAGTACTTTTATGAAAGCACTTTCGTAAGTTCTTTCATAAAAGTACTTTTTATAAAAATGCTTTCGTAAAAGTGCTTTCATAAAAGTACTTTTATAAAAATGCTTTCATAAAAGTGCTTTCACAAAAATACTTTTATAAAATTCAACTAAGGATAATTTTATAAGTGGTATTTTAAAATTCAATTAAGGATAGTTTTGAAAGAAAATTTTGAATAAATACTTATTGTATAAGCACATAAAAAAGCTGAAAATTTGGGCTTGAAAAATAAGCACTTATTTTTTATTTATTTCCCAAATACTAATAAGTGAAACACTTATTTTTTAGCACCCAAACATGGCCTTCATAAAAAATTAGACTTTTGTTCACATACATTGTGTTTTGACCATAGCAATTGTTGGTTTCGAAATTAATGCTATAGTTTTGTAGATTCTATGTGATGATGATGCTTGGTACTATTTCTATTACCGGTTCATTTGATGAGATTTATCATAAATTGCTGATTATTTTTTTTGAGATCAAATCAGAAAATTTGTTTATTTGTTAACATTGATGCCATGCCATCCAATTTTTGAGAAATAGGCAATGAATTTGTTTGGTATTCATGATCAGTGGTGAATTTTATTTTTAAAGGAACTATGTCTTTATCCACATCAGATGGCATGTCATAAAAGAAAAAAGAGAAATCATCGAAATCAATAATTTCTTTGTCAGGCCTAATTTTAATAATTGTTCTCTAAGTGATTTGTAAATTTCTCATAAATTGGCCAACCAAACAGCAAAGGCATCAAATTCTGAAGAATTGGCAATGGTACTAAACATCATCTAGATTTTTCTTAATACAATAATTGATTTATAACATTTGTTTGGACATAGTTTAGATAAAAAGCATTTTGGTCTCAACAAAATCAAAATCATCAATGTTTTTTTTTAGCTTTTCTATGGATATTAATGGAAATAAGTTGTTGATAAGAAAAATTATGTAGCAAATGATGCTTAACCATATATATATATA